CGCTGACTCGGCTGCTGACAACGGAGGCGGCGGGGGAACATCGGGTAGCCCACCGACAATTTCTTTGGCGGTTGACGCCCGACGCGGTCTCGGTAGCTTTGTAGCACAAAAGTAGTAGACATCATGGGTCGAGGGTAGCCGAGCCTTTTGGTTGCGCTCAGCCGTGCGACAAAGGTGCTTGGCGTCCTTGCCATACGCATCATGCGGCCCCTTGAAATGGTGCGAGGCGGCAAAGCGGTGCACGAGCTGTACGCCGTGCATCTGCGAGGGGAACTGAGCGATGCGAACAAAATTCCTCCGCCCTTTGTACTGGCTACGGCAGCCGTCAGAGAAGACATAGACGCGAGTGAGATTGAGCTTCTCACGGTAGTATGTGACGATGTCATCGAGTGCCTGATTATGGAAGAGTGAGGAGCCCTTTGCCTCGGAAAAAATACGCCACACGTCGGTCGTAACTTCGCGCTTGCCGTTGACGATACGGGGGGAGTGCGTGACTACGAAAACGTCCATATTGCTGCGCCCTGGGTGCTCACATGTGCGCGTGGAGTGCGCCTTATGCTCGTACTGCGCGGAGAAATCTGTCGAGATGCACATTTCAGTCTCGCCAAAGGTAGCGTAGGTCAAATGGCGTGCGTGCGTGTTCCATCGATCGGTCCAGTCGTGTGGAGACCAGTCGGCAAACAGCTTTCCCAGCCGCTCCATCAGCTGCTTGCGAGTCCCCTTCACGGTCACAAGCTCGTCTTGAAAGGAGCGGCCGTCCGGGTCGAGACGCGGCTGATACTCCTTCCATTCGGCGTCACAATCGTTGCTGTACTCGATCGGGCAAGCGGGCATCATCACGTCATAGCCACATTTGGTGCAGTTGCCGCAAACGTCGCCACCATCTTCGTCGTCGCTCTCGTCACCCGAGCAAAGGTCAGGGATGGCCTCGGACGGCAGCTCTGCACGGCAGCACTGTCGGCGGTAGAAGTTGACCTCGCCGTCAGTCTGCTTCGGACCGGCCCTAATTGCGAGCTCGGGGAAGCTAGCTTGACCGCAGGGACTGTGCACAAACTGTCGAAACTTCCCGAGGGAGCCCGATGCCTGACGGTAGGCAGAACCCTTGGCGCAGCTACCGCACGGACACGGTGCGGCCCCTTCCTTGTCATTCTCACGGTGCCATTTCGCACGTTGGGCATGCCACCCACGGAGCGTCTCCCGCATGAGAGTACACGTCGGGCAGGCACATTCCTGAAAGTCGCTCTTTTTGATGCAGAAGCATTTGGACTGTAGAAAGATGTCCTTTTTGAACGCCAAGGCCCCGGGCGTGGCCAGGTACTGCTGGTAGTCGACACTTTTGAAGAAATCTTCCGCAATCTGCTCGTCGGTGTCGTACTGAACGTGGCGCCAATGCTCGCGGTAGAACGGCTGGCCTGTTGATGCATTCACCTCGCGGTTGCGCACTTTATTTCCGACGTTCGTGTCGAGCCGCGTTGCTTTGTGCCAATAGTCAACGCAGACACGCCGGCCAAGGCCCCGAAAATCTTTGCGTTGCTTGCGCGAGATTTTATTCGCGCTAGAGAAGGCGCCGACCGACCCGTCATTCTGCAGATTGCGTCGCTGAGCACTATCGACCTGACTCCATTGAATCCCGAGCAACTCCCCGATGCACCTCATGAGGTGATCGTTGGTGGCATCATCCGGCACAAGAGCGGCGACAATGGTCTGAAAGCTCTGATGGTCTTCGAGGGAGCGTGTACCATGGGTCGGCGTGAGCTGTTTGAGTACACCTTTTGCGTGAGCAAGCATCTTCGCCGACGCCTCCGTCAATTTCTGAACTCGATCGGCGTGTCTTCCCGACTCCCCGAATAGCCGCTGGACTGCAGGACGCACTGTGAGCTGAGCTGATAGCAGCCTCGTTCGGCCAACCCGACCGCCACCACAGGCAAAGAGCTCCTGTTCGAGATGTCCTAAAAGCCGGTCGACCTGCCGATCGGTCAATCCGATGTCCGTTGCATTCTTTGGCACCGAAGCCGCGAGGTCATCATGCAACCCTGGATCCCTTGCGGACTCCGCAGAGCCAAGGCTCTGGAGCAGCTTGGCACCACTCGCACGCAAGCGAGGTCCGACATGCTCAGTCAAATCCTTCCATCGAGCAGACACGCTGTCCCTCTCAGCCGCCAGTTCCTCCTTCTCAGCCTCGAGTCTCTGCTTCTCGCTCTGTGCCCGCGAAAAATTGCCGCGAGCACTCAGCCAGTTCGTACCGCCGAGCTGCTGCTTCAGTTTGTCGGCTAAACTCTTTGCCGCGGCCAAAGATGCCTGCAACTCGCACACGACTTGCTCGCAATCACTGAGCTCGGCCGTCAATGAAGTGTTCTCTGCATCCCGACAGGCGCCCTCCTCGAGACGGGTGATCAGATTCTCTACGACAGCGCTCACTTCCAAAGCAGTGCGATTCTCGGATTGAATTTCCTCGACAAGTGCAGCCACTTGATCCGCCGGCATCGGCTCGTCAGGGACGACTTCGCATGTCATCTCGGTCGGACATGCGCCGCCCGCGCATCCGCAGCCGAAGGAGTGAGCAAATGTCATCTGGCTGACGAGGCTGGCAGGGCTGGCAGGTCTGCGCGCGACCGCCGCCGCCGCCGGCGACAGATTACCAGGCCGCACACGCACGCTCTCGCCGCCGCCCTCAAGCTCCACCGCGTACCGCCCGCCCTCAAAGCTCTGAGCCACGCCCCGCTGCCCGTTCAGCTCGGGGCGGGCCGAGAGTCCGCCGAGCACGACCCGCTGGCCGAGCAGCGGCGCGTCTGCAGCTGCCGCTGCCGCCGGCTGGATGGGAGCAGTGACGGCGGAGGCGGCGGGTGAGGCGCTCGAATTTGACGTCGCGTTGGCGCCGCCGACAGCAGTGGTAGTGTCGGAGGGAGCGGCGGGGTTCGGGTCATCGGCAGTGGAGGCGTTCGCCGCCAGTGCCGCCACAGAGGCGACGATGTCGAAGTCCGCGGCGGCAAACCGCTGGTGATGCACCGAGGGAGCACCGGCGGCCGCCAATGTGAGCAGGGTCAGAGAACCTCTGTTGAATGTTGGCGGTGCCGAGGCGGGCCGTCGTGGGATCGTGGCATCGATACGGCCCCTCGCTCCGAGAGAGGTACCACCCGTGAGGCGAGGCGGTGAGATGCTGCGCGACAAAGGAGGAGCGGGGGCGGAGCTTGCAGCGGCCCAAGAGGTGACAAAGGACTGCACCGTCTGAGAGGCGACGTCGCAAGCGGCTATGAAGGCGGCAGCCGGGGCGAAGGCAGTAGAAGAGGCAGCGCCGGCAGGGTCGCCTGCGGGCTCACGCTGGTTGAGGCTAGCGATGGCTTCTGCATATCCCGCTGGCAGCACAGCTCCCGCGAACGGTTCAGGCACTGCAGCAAGTGGCTGGGTTCTTGCCGCCAGCTCCACGAGGCTCGCACCGTCCGCGATTTGAGCCTCTGGGAACAGCGGCGGGCCGATTTTCCCGCCACCCTTGTAAGACCAGCCCCCTTTCGTTTTCTTGACCTTTCCATTGCAAAGATTTTTGACTGCATCTCGCTCCACTGATGGGTCGAGCTGCCTGACCTGACCCCATCGATGATCAATGTCGCCAACGACTGGCACGAGTCCATACTCGTTGTGCTCCAGCCACGACACACTGCCATAGAGCTGCCAGTTGTGTCGACAGTCCGACCCAGTCCGGCCATCCAGCCCAACCGCCTGGATGCCGAGGAGTTGGCGCAGATTCTTTGCGACTGGGTCACCTGGCAGCTCGAGCCGTTTGACCAGCGCCTCGAACGCATCTCTGTCGGGGATGCGGTAGGCGATGCGATCGGGCGAGACAAGGACCTTCATCGTCGCCTGCGCCGGCGTACATTGGCGCTCAGCGGGGCGGCTTTCCGAGCGCATTGCCAGTGCGGCGGCGGCCAGAGGGCTTCTGTGTGCCGACACCGCGGAGCGGGCGCACCGAGGAGAGGCCGAGGGTCAGCACCGCGGCCAGCCACAGCATTGAGGGCGGCAGAGGGCCGCAGCACGCTCGCAGGCAGCCGGCCGCTTCGAGCGGGCGCCCCCAGCTTCGAGCGGGCGCCCCCAGCTTCGAGCGGGCGCCCGGGGCGGGTTCCCCGCTTCGAACGGGCAGATGCGGCCGGGGATTCGCTTTCTGAAATGTCTGCCTCCAAAGGGGAAACGACTAACCTGATCTCAGAATCACTCGGAGTGCTGGGGGGGGCGACAGGAAGGATGTGGCCCTGAGTTATGTGTACGCCGACTCAGGGTGTGTGGCAGCCAGCTGGCTGTGTGTCTTGTGAGCCTGTTTGTGTCTGTGTGTCGCTCGTGCGTGTCGTCATCATCTGTCTAGCGTCCACCCATACCGCGTTGGTGTCCAGTCCGAGCCTGGCTGTTCTTCACCTTTCTACCTACCTACCTAGCTCTTGCGGAGGAGCGCCTTGTCTGTCTGTACCAAATGATCTCGTCAGCGAGAATGATGTGGGTGTGACTACGTGATTAGCTTGACTTCGGTCGGTGTGCGTACTCCTGATGTTTTGTCGTGTTCGTTTTGTCGTTTGTCGCATGCGTCTATGTGGTAAGTGCCGCGCCCGCGCTGCATGTCTGTTCTGGTGTGCGAGCTGTATTTGTCGAATATCTGATGAAGCATCGCTGCGGCAGCACGCACTTGGAGCAGCCCATCATTTTTTCTTTCGGCGATTATACTCCGTCGGGCAGGCCCGGCTAGTTTTTGTCCAGCGCGCACCCGCCGAGCCATGTGGCGCCAGCCGCGCCGAGCCATGTGGCGCCGAGTCGCTGCAGACAGCTGGCTGCAGCCCAGCTTGCGGCCGCTGCAGCCGCGCCGCCTCCTCCGCTGCCTGCGCCGAGCTTCGGGTGCGCGCAGCAGGCTTGCTCTCTCCCTCGCCGGCGGCTTTGCTGCAGCCGCCGCCTCGACGGCATACTCCTCTACAGCAGAGGCGGAGCAAGCGGCAGGCGAACGCCGTGCGTTTGAGTCCGATTGTATCATGGGTGAGGAACTCGGCGCGGGCGCCTTCGGCACAGTCTTCAAGGCGACGCACAAGAAGACGGGCAAGGTGTATGCGGTCAAGGTGATGCGGCGGCGGCGGTCGACGGAGGAGATAGTGCGTCGGGAGGTTGCGATGCTGCAGCGAGTGGGTCTTCATATTGGCGTGGCCGAGCTCGTGGACCACTTCGAGAGCGACGACAACTTCTACCTCGTCATGGAGCTGGTCACGGGAGGCGAGCTCTTCGACGCGCTCATCGACAACGGCGCCTTCTCCGAGCAGCAGGCCGCGGACGTGATCCGGCAGGTGGCGGACGCGGCGGCATTCCTGCACGCGCAGGGGCTGTGTCACGCGGACATCAAGCCGGAGAACCTGCTGCTCACCGAGCGCGGCCCCGGCGGCCTGATCAAGCTCGTCGACTTTGGGCTCGCCACCGAGCTGCGAAGCCCGAAGAGGAGCAAGCCGGGCACCTGGGCGTACTGGCCGCCCGAAGCGTTTGGCGACGGCTCGTCGTGCGGCAAGCCGACTGATATGTGGGCGATCGGGGTCGTCCTCTTCATCCTCCTCTCGGGCTACCACCCGTTTGACCCGAGCGGCAAGGCCGACGATGCGGCGCTGCAGTCGTGCATCCTCAAGGGGGAGCCCGATTGGGACGACCCAGCGTGGGCGCACGACTCGCCGGAGGCGAAAGCGGCATGGAGCACACGTCCGTGAGATTCCCACGACTTTTCCCACAGGAGCGGATCTCTTCCGAGGCGAGGAACCTCATCTCCGCGCTCCTCCGAAGCGACCCGGAGCGGCGGCTATCCATCGAGCAGCTGCTGCAGGAGCCGTGGCTGCGCAGCGGTGGCGCGCGAACCGAGCCGCTCCCGCAGTCGGACGACCGGTTGAGGCGGTTCCGCGAGTCGACGGCGCCGTTGAGGGCGGCCGTCTTTGCCACCATCCTCCAGCAGCACGTGAACGAGCGGCCATTGGCCGACGAGGGCGGCAATGGCGGCGGCAACGGCGGCGGCGGCGACGGACGCGGCGACGGGGGCGGCGACGGGGGCGGCGCCGACTCGCTTGCGGCCAGCAATGGCGCCCGCGCAGGGTACGGGGGCTTTGGACTCCCGTGGGCTCGCGTGAGTAGTTTCCTCGGCGGCGGCGCTGAGCACGCAGGAGGCGGGGGTGGCGACGGGGCTGCTCTGCGGAAGTTTGAGTCGCGGAGGAGCGCGGAGACGCTCGAGGCGCGGCCTTGGCGCCGTGTCTCGGAGCCGTTGCTGAGCCTGTCTGTAGGAGCGGGCGTATGCTGGAGGCGAGCATGCTCGGCGAGGCCTTCAAGGTCTTCGATCCCGACGGCAAGGGCTACATCACGGAGGACGACCTCGGCCGCGTGATGGCGTCGCTCGGCAAGTCGGACGCGTCGGCGCAGGAGCTGCACGAGACGATGGCACAGGCGGCGCGCGCGGACCGCGAGCACAAGCGCGTGCTCTACGGTGATTTCATCGAGCTGATGAGCTCGACGGAGCGGCGCCGCTTCCGGGAGGGCGAGGTCATGTTCCGCCAGGGCGATCCGGCGGACGGATTCTACCTCCTGCTGTCCGGCTCCATCGACGTCATCAAGCAGGAGGAGGAGGGTGGTGGCGGCGGCGGCAAGAGCGGCAGGACGGTCGACACGCTCTTCGCGGGAGAGTACTTTGGCGAGACGGCGCTGCTCTCGCATGCGCCGCGGCAGGCGGCCACAGACCACCCACCCACCCACACAAAACACTCACACCCCTCACCCACGCGCACTGGGCCTTGCTATTCAAGTGCGTGGGGCTCCTAGAGCCGCTGGGGAGAGCCCACCCTTGGGCCCAACGCGAGCGTGTGGAGACGTCGACTTGACCCCAGGCGACCATGCGCTGCCGCGAGCCGGTCGAGGTCCTCCGCCTCTCGCGCGAGGACTTCGAGGCCGGGTTCGTGCAGCAGAGCACGGGCGGCGGCGCGGCGCGGCCGTGCGGGAAGACGGAGGCGATGGCGAGCGCAGAGGCGACTGCGCGGCAGGCGCTCGGCTTCATCCAGATGGTCTCGAGCATGCAGCGCTCCACCCTCCGCCACGGGGAGACCGCCTTTGTCGAGGGCGACGTCGGCGACCGCTTTTTCATCATCGAGGATGGGCACATCACCGTCGAGCGCAACGGCGTCGTCCTCAACAACCTCGAGGCGGGCGGCTGCTTCGGCGAGCTCGCGCTACTCACGGGGGCGCCGCGCAACGCGACTGTCCGGTGCACTTCGGAAAGGTGCCGCTTGCTCTCGATGGGAGTCGCGGACTTTTCGCGCCTCATGCGCCGCTCCGCCGCGGTCCATTCGGACATTGAGACCCTGGCTCGGACGCGAAGTGCCACCCATCCAGCTGCAGGCGATCCTCACGGCACGCAGGGCCACGCTGCCGCAAAGGGGTGATGCTGCGGCCCCAGCATAGAGCCGTAGCGAGATAGAGTAGGCGGCCAGGCTATAGCTCGAAAACCTCACGAACCAGGAGACAGTTTTTGTTTTCGCAAAAAGATTAAGTCCCTTTCCGTGTGGCAAAAAAGCGAAAATTCTTCTTTCCGCCGTCGTGGGCCTCAGGCCGCCGCCTCTACTCGCCACGCACCGCTAGCGCCAATTTCTTCATTTCGCACGCGCCTTAGTGCGGGCCGACCGTTGTTCATGTCGGGCCGTCGTCTGTTCGGCGGCCGCCTGGCACTCGACGTGACGCCGAAGTTGGCGCCGGAACCCAACTCAAAGGGACCTCGCAAAGGCCAGCTTCCTGGCGAGTCGTTCTGCCACATCTGCATAGCAGAGCGGGGGCTGTATGCGTGGCGAGACCAGCGCAAGGTCGAGCCAGGCTTCAACTTTTCGAACATGACAGCCATTGGCTGTGGCGGCTGCGGCAACTGCGACACCTGTGTCCCTGCCCTGGCGTGCAACGGCCAAGTCGCGGCGTTTGTGAAGCCGGGCCGAGACGGGCGTGACCTCTCGCGCGTGATGAAGGGGTTTAACACCGGATTCTACCCGGTCCACCTCGGCTGCTTTGCTCGCCGCTCGCTTGCGGTTGACTACGCGACACGCGAGGCCGAGTGCCAGGTGAGTGGCGTCAAGATTGCAAAGGGCGAACTTCGTCTGCTGGTGGTTGTGCCCAAGTACTTTGGCGAGGCAGATGCGCCCGTGCGGCTGCGCCTGCACGGCGCCCGCGCCTTCCTTCGCGCGCTGTGGAGCGAGCACAAGGGTTTCGACGTGAGCGCTATCCAGGGCGTGGACCACGTTGCCGAGGCACAGCGCGCGTGGGTGCTAGCCGCGCTCCGAGGTGAGGAGGGGCCAGAGCGCCCGCCACCTGCGGCGGCGCCGTCGCAGTACGACTTCAAGGTCGGCTTTGTGCGCAACTGCCCGGGCGGCGGTGCAGAGTGCAAGTCGGCGGGCAGCTGCACGGGCCGGAAACAGAAGCGGCGAGATGGTGCGTCGTCGGCACCAGTGTCAGCGCCCGCGAAGCAAGCGAAGCTAGCTGCTTTCCTCGGCGGCGCGTAGCTCCTTTTCTTTTATAGCACGCACCTGCCCGCACTGCGGTTGCGATTCGTGAATTCTTTCCTCGTGTCGAGTCCACCAGGCGCGCGTCCACGTGTGCCCAATCCCTTCAACTCCCTCCCAACTCCCTCCATGTCGGACGCGTTTTCGGTCTTTGACGACGACTGCGCCGCTGCTCCCGCACCACTTCTGCCGCGCGCCAGCGCGCACCCTCACTTTGCCGATTTGGCGGTCTGGCCGCCTATGGCGGCCTCCTCCACTGCGCCCGAGGAGGGAGCATCATCCTCCGACGACGCGTTGCGTGGCTTTGCCGACGCACACGCCGCCGTCACTGCGAGCGGGCTGCGCAAGAGCCGCAGCCCATACGCAAAGGCCTGCGCCGCCTCGCTCCTGTCTGCGCGAGATGCCTTTGCGAGCGGTGGATGGGCAGCGCCCGAACTGCTCAAGCACGCCCGCGCCGCGCGCGGCTTGTGCGCGGCTACGCTCGAGGAGAGCAACTGGGACCTGCCGTGCTGGCAGGAGGCCAATCTGCTGGCCCTCTGCTTCGAGCTCGCAGCAGTCCTGCCAGCCCATGTCGCCCACGCCGCCACCCACTCCAACGCCGCTGCCAACGCCGCCGCCGCCACCACCACCGCCATCGACGTCTCCGACGCCACCGACGGCGCCGCCGCCATCGGCGAGCTTGCAATTGCGACCTTCAACCTCGCCATCTCCTCCGGATGCCACCAGCAAGGCGCCGGAGCTTGTCCACCTTGGGTTCCACTTGCGCGCTTGATTGTGACTGTTGCTTGAAGGCGCGCCTGCCCCTCCGTGGCTCCCGTGCGTCCGCTCGCTGCTGCAGCGGGCCGAGGCGGCGGTGGGCTCCGCATGGCCACCTGGCGGAGGCGGCGGACTCTGCGGTGGCGGAGGAGGCGGAGGAGACGCGGCGGTGTGGACCATCCCGACAGCGCCGCCCGCCGCGCTGACGCCCGCCATCGACGAGGCGCGCCGACTGCAGACGGTGGCGTCGCGGAGTCTCGGCAACCTCTGGGGGCCTTCTGCGAGCCTTCTCGGACGCCTTCGTGTAGGTCGACTCGGCCAGTCTGACCCTGGCCGACTTCTTCGTCCGCCACTTGCAGAAGGGCGCGCCGCTGCTGCTGCGCGGACACCTCGCCGCCGAGGAGCGCGATGCAGCGAGATGCAGCGAGATGCAGCGAGATGCAGCGAGATGCAGCGAGATGCAGCGAGATGCAGCGAGATGCAGCGAGATGTAGCGAGATGCAGCGAGATGTAGCGAGGTGGAGCGAGATGGAGCGAGATTGCTGCTCGGCCCCTCTGCCGCCGAGGAGTGGGGCGCGCGTGCGCTGCTCTGCCGATTCGAAGCATTACACGGACCGTTGCCGTCTCTGGGCCCTTCGGTAGGAGTGGGGCGCGCTCGCCTACTTCTCCGACTTGCGCGCGCTGCACGCTGACGCGGGCGAGCGGCTCGTCCCGGTCTCGCTGGGCAGCCCACTCGTCGGGCACGGGGGCGCCGCCTTCTCTCCTCTTCTCGCCTCGTCTCGTCCTCCCGCCTGTCCATCCACCCCCTCTCTGCTCTCTGCTCTCTTTCCCTCTCGCTGGCGCCGTCCGCTGGCCGTAGAAGCTGACCAGAGGTGGCGGTGCTTTGGGCACGGCAGGAGTCGTCCACTGGCCGCTGCGCAAGCTCATCGAGGAGCACTTGCTCCCCTCCAACGCGACGCACGGGCTGCCCCGGCCCGAGGGGTGCGCGCTCGACCTCGAGCCGCTCTGCAAGGCGCGACGCCCCTGCGTCGCGTCGCCGCGCCCCTCCACCACCCGCGATCCAGCGCCTCCTCATTTCAGCAAGAGGGGTTGGCGTCGCGCCGCAGGTGGCGTACATGTCGCAGCACCACCTCCTTCACCAGCACCCGGCGCTGCAGCGGCTGCTCGCCGTCCCTCCCCACACGCTGGGCCGGCCCCTCTCCCCGACCAACGTCTGGATCGGCACGCGCGGCACCGTCACGTCGCTGCACTCGGACCCGTCCGACAACCTGCTCTGCCAGGTGGCCTTGCATCACAAAATGCCGCCCTGCCTATCTGGCTGGGACGTGTAGATGCGGGGGAGAGCCCACCCTTGCCCCGCACTCTCGTGTGGGAGAGTGTGCCTCACCCTTGCCTGAAATCCGCCAGGTGGCCGGCTACAAGTACATCCGGCTGTACGGCCTCAGCGAGACGCCCAAGCTGCACGCCACCACGCTGCGCTCAAAAAACACCAACAGCTTTGGCACGTCGCCCGTCCGCGTCGAGGCGGACCCACTGCCGACCGCGCACGCGTCGGCCGCCGACGCCGCCTACGTCGAGACCATCCTCGCGCCAGGCGACATGCTGTTCATCCCCAAGAGCGTCTGGCATTATGTGCGCAGCCTCACCACGAGCGTGAGCGTGAACTACTGGTTCTGAGTGTCGATGGGGTGTGAAAGTCCGTTAAAGCAAAAAAGATGCGGGCGCGGGCCGCGGAGCCGGCGCGCCGCCCGCCCGCGCATCGTCGGCGTGCTCCGGGGGGGCGCGGCGGCCGGCGCGGCCGCAGCGCGCAGCGCCCCCAGCGGTGTGCCCCGGGGCCCCCCCGCGTCCCCGCGGCGGGTGGAGACTCCCCCGCCGGCGGGGCGAGGGGGAGATTGAGTCGAGAGCGACGGAGAGCCCAATGCGTGTGGCACACTGTGCGCAGTCACGGCGGAACCGACAACCGTGAAGCAACCGATAACTCGGTGACCGAGAGAGTCAGACGATAGAGTGCCGTGTGCGGTGTGGGAATATCGAGAAAAGTAGAACGGATAGGGGACCCGACGAGACCTCCCCACAAGCCTCCGGATGGAGAGACAAGTGCCTTCCGGGCTCCCGAATATCTTAACACCTTATTCTCTTGTTTTCGCCGCCGCCAGCAGCGTGTGCAGCTCAGCCGAGACCTCCGCATCGGTGTAGAGGTCAGTTGGGTATGCCTTGAGCTGTCCCTCGATAAATTCGGCCTTGCTGATCAGGCCATCGCCGCCGTCCAGAGCAGGACCGGCGTGCCTACAGGGATGGGCGCGGTGAAGAAAATCTCAACAGAAAGGTCTCCACAGAAAGGTCACGGCCGTGTTGAGTGACGCCGGAATGAGGGTCCATTCCCGCACAGCGGTCAGATGTTTGGCAGTAACGCAGCATCTAGACGGTCCGACCCACTGTCGAGCCAGTCGAACGCGCTGCTGCCGCCGGAATGGTGACCCAGCGCCGCCTTGAGCTCAGCAGGCGTCAGGCTACCCGAGCCGTCTGCGTCTGCCAGCTCAAACAGCTCGCTCAGCACTGCCTCGTGACTATTGGATTCCTGCAGCTCGGGTTCTTCTCCAGCCGGGGTCGGGCATCCGGGGTCTTCTGGTTGTGATTTCGAGCCGCAGCCGCCCATTACGTGCACACACCGCAACACGTGCGGCTCGTCCGTCCCTCCGGCGACGCGGTACGGCTCCGCCGGTCGAGTTTTCTTTTTTTAGGGGTTGCGGTCTACCGGCGCAACTTTTAGGGTCGGACCTTGAGACTGCTTCGGGAATCAGGAATCAGTTCCCATCACAAGGATGCTCTCTGTGTCAACACAATGTGATCTGTGATCTGTGAGGGTCCCGCCCGCGGGGCGCATTTTGTATACCGAGGCGGTGCCCGGTGCCGAGCGCAGGCAGAGCCCACAGGTCGGACCTTAAGACAGCATTGTAGATCCCTGGGCGAGGGTGATGGCGTCCCCGTCGGGAAGGGCTGACACAATGTGATCAATGTGTAGTTCTTCGGGCTTCTTCCACGCGCGGCTGACCTCTCGTCCAATTAGGCTCAACAAAGAAAGCTCTTGACCTCAACAACAGTGGCAGTTGCGATGTTGCTTGTGTTGTTGTTCGGGCTCTCGCCAGCGTTGGTCGGTCGGTCGCTACCGCGGTGGCCGGTGGGCATGCAGCCGGGGTCTGGGCGAGGACTCGCTCCAGCGTGGGCGACCTGCGCAGCGCGTGCGGTGTGCTGCTGCCTCATCGGTCATCGCCCTCTCGTTGCTGCAGATCTCGTCACGCGCTGGAAGGCCGCTCGCGAATGCTAACGGTCGGAGGCAGGGAGGGAGGCGCTGCTGTGCGGCCGGCTCGAGCCGCGGCTCCTCGCAGCGCCTCTTATTCCTACACATTCGACTTCCTTTCTCGCCTTCCACCGCCTTGTGTCCCCAGCTCAGCCACCCATGGATCCCGCCCCACTTTCCAAACACCGCTCGGTCCGGACGCGATTCGTCCTTCACGCTGGTCGAATAGTCCGTAGCGCGTCAGAGATGGCGAAGCGGCGGCCCCTGCGGTACAGGCACCGGTGAAACACCGCGTGCTCACACGGCCACCCGTACACATTGTCGGTGACCGAGGCCGCGTCTGTCTTGGACAGCGTTAGGTCCGACCCATGCACGCGGTTGTACGAGCACTCTGCGGAGAGGAAGACGTCGCCGCGGTAGACGCCAAAGCCGCCAAAGGCGGACTGCACAGCCATCGGCGTCCGGAATTTGGCTTGGCGTATCCGGGCGAGGAAGGCGCCGTCGAAGTGCCCCGCCTCGTCTACGCTAGCAAAGGTATCATAGTAGACGCCGGACCCGCCTGGGACACGGCGGTGAAGCGACCATTTAGAGGGCGGTAGTTGCGTCGTGGTCATGAGGGGGGCGAGGGAGGCGATGCGGCGAGGGCCAGTCACGTGCGAGAGAGGCTGCAGGGAGTTGAGAGGTGGCCAGGAGGGGGAGCGGGAGCCCTCACCTTCGCGGCCGAGGGAAAAGACGGCGTGGTACCGCGGCAGCTCCAACCGCAGCGCGCGCCGGAACTGTACGGCGGTGGGGAGCTCGACGTCACCGTCGAACAGGACCACCACCTTCGCATCGGGTGCGCGCACGGCGATGTGCTGCTTGAACTGCTGGCGGATGGCGGCGAGGCGGCACGCGCGGTTCCCGCCAGGGCAGAGCTTCCCATCGCAACGCGGCCACGCCTGCGTCGAGTTGTCGGCGGGGAATGTCTGGTCAACAAGCTCGCTCCTCGCAAACGTACCGCGCAGCGACAGCGCGGCCGAGCGCCACGCGTCCCGTGTGCGGTCAGTCGAGCCCGACTCGTAGACGTAGAGGTGGTGGCGCGCGCCCGGGGTGGTGTTGGCGTAGCCGCGCAGCGCGGCGACGCACCTCGCCACGTGTTCCTCGGCGTTGCGGACCGTGGTGGCAAACACGATGGGCGACGGCATTGTGTCTTGTTGGACGGATCGCACGATACTCAACGATGATGTGATGGACGCACGAAAACTTCGCGTTCGAAATTATTTTTATGCACGTAATAAAATAATAGGAGAGCGGCGCAGCGCGCACACACATAGACAAACGCACGTCAAACACTCTCAAGCAAACCAGCACATAAAGCGCGATCGACGACAGCGCCGCCTCGGTCGTTGCTCAAAAGAGACAGGCTAGCTCGCCGCCTGTGGCCTCCCCGCCTCGGAGGGTCGAAACACCCGCCGCCCACTTCCGCACCCACATCCTCCCTAATCCGGGCCCCTTTCAACCCTACGCACGACTCAGCCGCCCCCTCCTACGCCGTCGCCGCCGCAGGCTCCGGCGCGGCCTCGGCCTCGGCCGCCACCGCGGCCTCCTCGAGCAGCAGCGCCTACATAGCAACCAAATCACACTCCTAGCAACCATGTCATCGCCATCGCGGCCTCCTAAAGCGGCGGCGCCGACGGCGTCCAGTACGTGCCGTTCGGGTGCTCGGCGCCGTACCTCTGCAGGTCGGCCGCAAGCTTGGGCAAGCCTCCCTCGCGGATGTGCCTCGCCTACGAGCGACCGTGCTGGCAGTCCACGCGGCGCCACGCCTTCAAGCCGCGGGCGGGGGGGGGGGAGAGGGCAGGAGAGGGCAGGAGAGGGCAGGAGAGGGCAGGAGAGGGCAGGAGAGGGCAGGAGAGGGCAGGAGAGGGCAGGAGAGGGGAGGGGAGGAGAGGGCAGGGCAGGAGAGGAGAGGGGAGGGGAGGGGAGGGGAGGGGAGGGGAGGGGAGGAGAGGGCTGGAGAGGAGAGGAGGAGGCCACGCGCCCAGTGCATCGGCCCGCCGAGGCGGCGCGGGAAGCCGTAGCCGTACAGGAAGACGATGTCGATGTCCGACTCGCGCTGCGCGATCCCCTCCTCGAGGCACTTGAAGCCTTCGTTCACCATCGGCAGCATGCAGCGGTCGAGCACCTCCTCGGCCGAGATGGCGCGCCGCGTCACGCCCTGCTCCGCCGAGAACTTCTCGATGAAGTCGGCCACCCACGGGTCGTCGACCGGGTTGCGGCCGGCCGCGTAGTCGTACCAGCCCGCCTTGGTCTTCTGGCCGAGCCGCCCCGCCTCTGCGATCCGGTCTGCGAGCAGCGGGTAGCGGTCCGCGGGCCCGTACAGGTCTGGCTGGTCCTTGCGTATGTTGTACCCGATGTCGATACCCGCGAGGTCCTGCATCTGCAACGGCCCCATGGCGAGGCCGAGCGCGCGCACGGGCGCGTCGACGTCGCGCGGCACGCAGCCCTCCTCGAGCAGGAAGTAGGACTCGCGGCAGTAGCCCTCGATCATGCGGTTGCCGATGAAGCCGAAGCAGTTGCCCGCAAGCACCGCCTTCTTGCCGAGCTTCTTGCCCATCGCCATCACCGTGGCGAGCGTCTCGCCCGAGGACGCAGACCCGCGCACGTTCTCGAGCAGCGGCATGATATTGGCGGGCGAGAAGAAGTGCGTGCCGCACACGTCCTGCGGCCGCGAGGTGGCCGAAGCGATCTTGTCGATGTCGAGCGTCGACGTGTTTGTGCAGAGCAGCGCGCCCGGCTTGGCGATCGCGTCCAGCTCCTTGAAGATGGCCTTCTTCAGCTCGAGCCGCTCAAAGACCGCCTCGACGTACAGGTCCGCCTAGGCTCGGGCCAAGCGAGGGTGGCCTCAGGGGGCCCCCCTCCCGCCTCGACGCGAACGGAACACTGTCCCGCCGTGGAGCAGGCGGGGTCTACTATTACTACCACTACTACTACTACTACTACTACCACTACTACCACTACCACTACTACTGCTACTACTACTACTACCCACTACTACCACTGCTACTACTACTACTACTACTGCTACTACTACTGCTACTACTACTGCTACTACTAGTACTACTGTCCCGCCGTGGAGCAGGCGGGGTCGTCGAGCGAGGTGGCCGTGGAGATGCACCGCATCCGCGCGCCAAGCTTGTCCTCGCTCAGCTTGCCTGCAGGGAGGCTCCAGGAGGTGTCATGGACGGGCCGTGGACAGGGCATGCAAGGCGCCTCGCTCAGCGTGCCCTTCGCGACGTTCGCCTCGTACGCCGCGCGGATCCCGCCGATGCGTGTCTCGAGCGCCTGTGGGAAGGCGCCGGGAAGTGTCACGGACAGGTCGTGGAAGTGTCACGGACAGGTCGTGGACGGACCCCGCCGATGCGCGTGCCTGAGTGACGTACGCTCAGGACGTGTGGCAGCCCAGCTGGCTGGGTGTCTTGTCTGCGTGTGTGTCGCTCCCGTGTGACCGTCTCCGCTTCCCGCTTGCGTCCACCATACCCCGCCGCGAGGCAGACTGTTCTTCGCCTCTCTATCTGAGCACCTCGGGCGACTTGTCGACTAGCGTGACGGGGATACCCTTGTTGGCGAAGCACATCGCGATCCCGCCGCCCATCGTGCCCGCGCCGATGACGGCCGCCGACTCGATTGGGCGCGGCGGCGCGTCCACACCAACCACCTTTGAGATTTGCCGCTCGGCGAAGAAGACGTGCTGCAGCGCGCGCGCCTCTGGACCGGCGGCGAGCTGTGCGAAGAGCTCGCTCTCACGCGAGAGGCCCGCCTCAAAGGAGGGCGCCTCGGCGGCCGCCCGCACCGCGTCGACGATGAGCAGCGGCGCGAGCTCCCCCTTGGCCGCCTTGCGCGCGCCTTCTCTCGCGGCGCCAAAGAAGGCTTCTACGCCGCCTTCGACCTCGAGGGGCCGCGCCGACACGACGCGGGAGGGGTCGACGCCGTCGGCCAGCGCCTCGGCGAACCCGACCGCGGCCTCGGCCACCCCTTCTCCGTCCACCGCCGCCACCACCTCGTCCGCGAGGCCGAGCTTGGCCGCCTCTGCGGCGCCGAGCGGAGCGCCGCTCGTCATGATCTTGATTGCGGGCGCGCAGCCGATGAGGCGCGGAAGCCGCTGCGTGCCGCCCGCCCCGGGGAGCAGCCCCAGGTGGACCTCGGGGAGCCCGCACTTTGCCGCCTTGGACATGACGCGCCAGTGGCAGGCGAGCGCGACCTCCAGCCCGCCGCCGAGCGCGGTGCCGTGCATCGCGGCGACGGTCGGCATCGAGGCCTTGTCGAGCCGCTCGATCACCTCGCCGAGCGTCGGCTGGGTCCGGTGGCCGCCGGTGGCGAACTCGGCGATGTCGGCGCCGGCAGGGAAGGTGACGCCGTCGCCCGCGAGGACGAGCGCCTTTGCGCCGGCCTTCTCCGCCTGTGCGATGCCGTCCACGATGCCCTTGCGCACCGCGAGGCCGAGCGCGTTGACGGGAGGGCTCGAGATCTTGAGGAGGCCGACCCTACCGATGAGCTTGAAGGTGGCCATTTGGGGCGGCCGGGACCACGTGCAGGTCCGACGAGCTGTGTTTCGTGATGGCGCGCCCAGATGTTTGACGTTTCTCAGGTTTTTGTTTTGTTTTGTCCCCAATTGGGAGGAGGACAGGGTCCCCACCTTCACGGCGGAGTTTGTAAGGCAACTGGTCTGTCGAGGTCTGGGGAAAAAAACAGCGTGCGCCGAAGTGGTCGGTGCTGTTGCAGCAACATGCACAGCTGCTATCGTCGCGAACGCCGCCAAGTGCTGCGCCACGGCACCTCCACGTTGAGCTGGCCATGCTGACCTTTGGCACTCTCGCCGCCGGGCGCACCTGCCCTGCTGCCGCGGAGGGGTCGCTCGACTGCCTCTCCGCCCGCGTCGACAACAGCTGGATCGACCAGCTCGAACCGGACCCGGAGGCACGGCCGCCAAACAAGCAGGCCCGGGAGGTGCACTCGGGCCACTACGTCATCGTCAAGCCCACTCCACTGCCGCGGCCGTACCTCATCGCATGCAGCCCGGCGGTCCTCGAGCTACTGGAGATCGCGGCCGGCGAGTGCACACCCGACACGCCGTTCGTGCGGCTATTTGCGGGCGATGTCGACGCGGTGGCCGGCTTTGAGCAGACCTGGGCGACGCCTTACGCGCTCTCCATCTACGGCTCGGAGGTTCAGCCCAACGGGGCCGGCCCAACGGGCAACGGGTATGGCGACGGCCGCGCTGTCTCGATCGCCGAGGTCCTCACCTCTGCGGGCGCGCGGTGGGAGCTGCAGCTCAAGGGCGCCGGCAAGACGCCCTTCTGCCGCAACGCGGACGGGCGCGCGGTGCTTCGCTCCTCGGTTCGCGAGTACCTGGCGTCGGAGGCGATGCACCACATGGGCGTTGCGACGACGCGCGCTCTCTCGCTCGTCGGGTCGGCCGACGAGACGGTGCGGGCGGCCGGGACCGCGGAATGCCATCAGTATCAGTGTTGTCCTCGGCGGCGTGAGATTCGTTCTTGCTGTTGACCAGGTGCTGCGGCCGTGGTACTCGACCACCACCTACGGCGGAGACGCGAACGCGTCCACGGCGTGCGACGACACCGACTCCCGCTGCGCGCTGTGGGCGGGCGCGGGCGAGTGCGATCGCAACGCGGCCTTCATGGAGGATCGCTGCGCCAAGAGCTGCGCCAAGTGCAGCGCGACGTGGAGTGGGCGCGGCAGAGGCATGCACGGCGGCGACCTGCACCAGCGCGAGCGGTGCGCGATCACGACGCGCGTGGCGCGCTCGTACCTTCGCGTCGGCCACTTTGAGCTCTTCGGTCGGCGGGCGCGGTCGGGCCGGGGCGAGGCGGCCTCGACGGGGCATCGCGGCCGCCTCGAGCGGCCGGCGCGAGACTGGCCGAGAGCAGCACAGGTTGCCCCGAGAGTAGGACTCGCAACCTCGAGCAGCTGGCGAGGCACGCGCTGTGGCGCGAGTACCCGCCGTACGAGCCGGACGCGCCGCTGCAGCCGCAGCTGCTGCGGATGGCGAGGGAGGCGGCGGCGCGCTTCGCCGACTTGGCCGCGGCGTGGGTGCGGGTGGGCTACGCGCAGTCAAACTTCAACTCGGACAACTGCCTCGTCGGTGGCGTGACCGTAGACTATGGCCCGTTTGGCTTCATCGAGCCCTTCTCTCCGCGCTGGTCCATGTGGGTTGGCTCGGCCGAGGGAGGCCACTTTGGCTTCCTCAACCAGCCGGCCGCGGCGGGACGAAACTACCGCATGTTTGCGGAGGCGCGCCGCTGCCAAGATCTCGGCTCATTTCGCCCATCTCGCCCCATCTCTCCCCATCTCGCCCCATCACGCCCCATCTCGGCGCATCTCGGCGCATCTCGGCGCATCTCGGCTCATCTCGGCGCATCTCGGCGCATCTCGGCGCATCTCGGCGCATCTCGGCGCATCTCGCAGGCGCTGCTGCCGCTGCTCGACCGCAGCGGCGCGCGCGAGCTGCGCGCCACCATCGACGGGTATAGCGGCGTGGCGGACGCGGCGATGGGGCGCATGTGGGCGGCTAAGCTCGGGCTCGCGGCGGGCGCAGTCGCGTCGGGCCTGGCTGCAGAGCTGCTGGCGCTGATGGAGCGGCACGGCGGCGTCGACTACACGCTGCTATGGCGGCAGCTCGCCACGGCGCTCGAGCGCGGGAACGGCGCGGCGGGCGCGGGCGAGGTGGCGCTCCTTGGCGACGTCCTGGCGGTGGCGCTCTACGAGCCGCTGAGCGACGCGCAGGCGGACGCGTGGCAGGCTTGGCTGCGTCCATGGTAGGTCCATGACATGTCCGAGACATGTCCCATAGGCGGACGCGTGGCGGGCTTGGCTGCGGCGCTGGCTCACGGCGCACAGGGAGGAGGCGCTCGGCGGCGGCGGCGGCGGCGGCAGCGGCGGCGGTGGCGGCGATGGCGAGGCGGCCGTCGTCGCGGCCGCCGCCGACCAGCGCGCGCGTGCGATGCGGCTCGTGTCGCCAAAGTCCCTCCGACGCGTGTGGATGCTGCAGGCGTGGTAGCAGCGCTATTTCACGGTCCAGAGCCGTGAACAGGTACATCCCGCGCGAGTGGATGCTCGCCGAGGCGTACAAGGGGGCCGAGCAGGGCAACCACACGGCGGTGCAGGCGCTGCAGGCGCTCTTCGCGCGGCCGTTCGATGAGCAGCCAGAGTTCGAGGAGATGTACTACCGCAGGCAGCCGGCCGGCGCGGCGCAACAGGGCGGCATAGGCTTCATGAGCTGATCCTCGTAGTGGGCGCCGCAGACGTGTGCGGCGTCGGCTCGACTTGGAGCGGCAGCGGGAGGGATGAGAGTCTCGCGATGACGGCGCGCGCCGCAACCCCCGTCGTGCTACGCACGGGACGGCGCGCGCTCGAGCTCCTCTCCGAAGGGAGGCTCTCTTTTAGATAGGTTGTGTGGTGCTTGTATTCGCGATTCGATGTGTAGCTCTTGTGGCGCGACTCCAGAGAACGTGCGCGCTGAGCGCTGTCTAAAAAGAAAGAAAAGAGAGAATCCACCTTGTCGTTGTCCTTGACCTGCCTGTGCAACGAGCAGGATTTTGAACGAAATTGTATCGGGGGGTAGAGGAACTTTGAGTGCAAAGTCGGAGCGGGAGGGGGGGGGGGGGGTAGCGGGGTACGCGCGACAAAACGAGTTACGAGTTGGAGGGCGAGGGCGGCGAATTACTTTAGCCCAGAGCCGACCAGTGCTGTGGCACTACTGCGTTCGCTGCCGCTGGCTGCCGCTGGAGCTGCGGGGCGCCCGCCGCAGGGAAGACGAGGAAACGGTAAATTCCAAAATCCAAGTTCCAACGCGGCCACACCCAGACCAGACCCACAGACCTGCCGCGCTCCGCTTTTAAGCTGATTGGCTAGGCGAGGGGCTGTAGGCGGTCAAACCTCCGCCAGGGGGGGGGGGGGGGGCAGCCTCTGCTCGCGCCGCAGGTGTCAAGCACAGCCCGTGATCGAGTCGCTCTGCCCGTGTGTGTGGTAGTCGGTTGGTCGGTGCAAGTCCGTGAGAGTGGGGTTGCATACACGATCGCAAGATTTCGTGTGACTGGGAATATGCAACACAACAACCAGAAAAGAGGCGGCTGTAGGTGTGCCCGCATTTTTTCCGTTTCATAGCAAAAGAGATAGCAAGCCGGTCGAAAGCTCATTTCAAAAAGTGAAAATTCAACCAAAACTCTCGCCTTCAGCTGACCTTTTGGCCGGGACAGGACTGCGCCCTGCGAACTACTGAGGAGCCGTTAGTAAACAAGGGGTGTGGATGCATACGACAAAGAGACGACAAGAGATTCCTTTGGTTTTCCTCCCTCCCCGGGGTGTACAGGATGTAGTGAACAAAGAGAGATAGTGCACAAAGAGAAGACCATGCAAAGGATTGAGTAGGCATCTATGCCTTCAACTCAGGCTGTTCCTGATGTGCACGTGTCCACGTCGCACGTGCAGAGTTCCACCTGCGTGCAAGGGCCATGTTGCTCCGACGGGTTGAGTGCGAACCCTGGAGGGCAGCACGGCTCGTGATCGACGTCGTTCGTGGTGACGTAGTCTTTGAACGTCTGCGCGTCGCCGCATGAGTCTGCCGTATCAAACTCCCACCGCCAGACCTGGCCCGGCTCTGACCACGAGACTGTCTGCGAAGTTGTGTACGTCTGTTCGAACGCGTTCGCCGGAAGCCACAGTCGAGCTCACTTGGACGCTAGACGATGACCCTTCAAATTCGAAGCCCCCGCTTAGCGTGTTCGTGACGCTATCGGACCAAGACTCGTCCCGCGTGTACGTGGTAGACGACGCGGTGCCGAACATTTGCTCAATGGTTGCATCACCGTCCGTGTAGACGTCTGCAACCCATTTTCCGGTGACCGAACCAATGTCGCTGCACGTCGGAATCGTATAGCACCCAATTTGATCGAGAGAGTTCCCGGCACCTCCGAAGAAAGAAACGATTGCGGTACCCTCGGGAGCCTGGCAAGAGTGCGCATCGCCTCCATTGCCTCCGTAGACTGCCGACTTTTTTCCATCAGCGAGCTCGAACTGGAGCTGATCAACCACGTTCCCCGATCGAATCGACACCTTGGTAATGTAGCTTGAACCAACGTTGAAGGTCTCACTGGCGCTCCCGCCGCTGTTATCGCCGTGCGTGACTTCGTGGCCGTCCTTGTAGGTGATCACGAGCCGGTCAATCGCGTTCCCGCTCCACAATTGAATCGAGGACACACCCAAGGATGAAGGCCCGAGCGTATTGTAGTCGTCAAACGCGTCGCCGCCGTCGCCGCCGTAGGCGCCGCTCTTCACCGGGTCGTTTGTAGAGAGGGCCCTGCCGTTTGTGGCAACTGGCGCGCTGTGCGTTGTCGCTGCCTGGAACATGCAAGTGGCAGCGCCGGGGTGAGAGTGCTGGCATCGGCGGCGCGCATGTGTGCGGCGGATATCGTGTGTGTCAGTGCCAGTGCACGCACCAGGGCGAAGAACACTGCGGTCGACCAGGCTCGCATGGGACCGGAACTGGAGAGACACTCGGAATCGCCGGCTCGGGCGCTTCCGTATGACAACTAAGGCCATACGCGCGAATTGAAACAGGAATTAGGAACTCTCTGTACTCCTTTCGACCACAAGGTGCACCCGACGCAACATCCTTTCGACGACGATTATTTCGCACTTTGCGAGCCCAAATCACTCTGACTCTCTGACTGAAAGAGAGTCGTGATTGATTGATTTCTTGTTGGTTGGTTTTCAGTGTGTGTATGTAGCCCTTACTTTCGTACTCTCTCTCCTCTCTTACGTGTTACGAACATTCCCGAAGAGGAGGACCACTGCTGACGCGTTTTAACGCTTTACCACTGTCAATGAACGTAGCGCCTGCAGCGCTGGCAGCCGCTGGCTGGCCGCTGGCATTTGTAGATTAAAATTTCTTACTTAACTTCAAGCCCCCCCTCGGTCCGAGACTAGAGACACAGAACCCGGAGATACATACGTCAAAGGGACTGTGCCCCCGCCCCCACTTGCCCTGACTGCACAGGATAGCGTGCCCCGGAGACGGCGAGACATACTGGAGGATTTCTTTTCAGCCGTGGTGTGTTACTGCCAGTGCGCGCCAGTCCGTGGGAGGGATTTAGGTTTTCTTTTGATCTTACCGCGAAACGCTGACACACATGTCGCGTTTGTGCTCGTTCTGCCTACTTGTCGCCTGGCTGGCTGCTTGCCTGGCGGATGAAGGTGCCGAGGCTGCAGCGGAGGGCGAGCTGTGGACCGAGCACTACGACAAGGAGTCGGGGAAAATGTGCGCTTCAGCGCCCGGAGGTGCTGCCGCCTGCCACGCCTCTCCCGACACGGACCCTCGCCGCGCAGGTTCTATTATCACGCCGAGTCGCAAAAGACCGCGTGGGAGGCGCCGGCCGGCGCTAGGGTCCAGCGCGCCGCGAGTGCGTCCGCTGGGTCGGCGGCCGGCGGCTTGAGGGCAACTGACGGGTCGACGATGATGCTGACTGTCCTCGCTCTGGGAGTGCCGGTGCTGATCTTATTTGGGGGTCTTCTCGTCATCTACTACCAGGCGAGCCGGGAGGGGCTGCACGAGATGCTCAAGAACCTCAAGCAGAAGCGAGATCGATCGACGAAGCGCAAGGGCGAGCGCCCTCTGCCTGCCGTGCCCCGCAGGACGCATACGTATCGGCGCTCACCCCGCGCCGGCTCGCATTGCGTGGCAGGCTCGAAGGCGGGGTCAAAGTACAAGACCAAGTTCAAGCTCTCGCAGGACGGCAAGGGCGGCCGCTCGGCCAACTCATAAGGGCGGGGGGCGGGACGAGTCTCAGAGTTTTCACTGGAACACACCCTGCGCTGCGCTCTTGTGCAGAGGCCTCCGAGAGATCGGCGAGAGTCGCCTGCTCGCTGCAGCTGCTGCTCCCTGGTCCACGTGCGATCGCGCGGAACGATTTAGAGAGACTACTTTAAGCATATCCCAGACTGTGAGGTTGTGGCGGAGCTGCACGTGTTTAAATAATCCTATTGTTCGTACGCACACAAAAGAATCAAGAACAAGATACGGCGTCTACCGTCTACGATACAGACGTGGGCATCGTCTGAGACTGAGCACATCTCACAGCTATGTGTCGTCATCGATCCCCTCGCCGGTCACCCGTAGCAACACCCGCTCCGCCGCGTCGGGGGCGACGCCGCTGTGGCATTGCCGCCCGCTGCGCCGCTGCCGCCGCTGCGCCGCCCGGGCGCGCAGTTCTCTCAGAGCTGCGCAACGTAGCCGTTCTTCTCGCGGATCGACTTAACGTAGTCCTTTGTGGGCTGCGGCAAGATCTTGCCGGCCGCGGTGCAGGGCTTGGACGGCGGGATCTGGCCCTTGTCCTGCTTGTTTCCGATCTCGATGCTGCGCGTCGCCGACGTCTCACCCGTCAGGCAGTTGAGGAGCGACTCGCAGATGCCGCCCGCCTGCAGGACGGGTGCAGGAAGGGGTCGCCGGAGGCTCGGGAGGAGTCCGGGGGGGCAAAGACGCCAGCCCCATCTCGACAGTGTCTCGGCTATCTCTCGGCTATGTCTCGGCTATGTCTCGGCTATGTCTCGGCTGTGTCTCGGCTATGTCTCGGCTGTGTCTCGACTGTACCCCGCGGCTGCATCTCGGCTATGTCTCGCCGGGTCGGCGTCGATGAAGGAGCCGTCCGCGTCGGTGAAGGGACGGTTCGAGTTCATGGTGATCTGCTGCGGCATCTTCTTCGCTTGCGCGTACGCGCGCATCTTTTGGAGCATCTGCGCCGAGGGCAGAGGGAGGGCGCGGTGAGGGCGGCGGCGAGTGGAGGAGCGACAAGGCGTCGGCGCGGGCTGCGGCTGCGGCGAGGCTGGAGTTGCGGCGGCAGCTGGGAAGGGCGGGGCTGGAGTTGCGGCGGCAGCTGCGGGGGAGGGGAGGGTCGTCACCTGTCCGGGCGGCTGGCCCTTCCTGTACGCACCGAGGAAGGCGCGGGTGCAGACGCCTCCCTCGGAGGTCTCGTAGGCGCACTGCTCGTCGAGGGCGGCCGAGACGCAGAAGATGGTGCCTGGCGAGGTGAGGGTCGAGGTGAGGGTCGGGGTGAGGGCCGAGGTGAGGGTCGAGGTGAGGGTCGAGGTGAGGGTCGAGGTGAGGGTCGAGGTGAGGGTCGAGGTGAGGGTCGAGGTGAGGGTCGCGTGCCGCAGTCGGGGATGACGTCGTACGCCGGGCCGGTGGCCTCGTGCGTGAGGCGGTAGGGGAGGTCGAGGATGGTGCCCGAGTGGCAGCAGTCCATAAAGACCTGTGCGGCGGAGAAGGGGTGCGGGTCTGGGGAGAAGGGGTGCGGGTCTGGGGGGAAGGGGATGCGGGAGGCTGGCCAGGGAGGGAGGCCCCCGACCAGGCGGCAGTCCATGGAGAGGGCGTGGGCCGCGGGGAGGGCGGCGGCGAGGGTGGCGGGTGGCGGCGAGGGCGAGGGTGGGGGTGAGGGTGGGGGTGAGGGTGGGGTGGAGGCGAGGGCGGGGGGCGAGGGGCGGACCATCAGCGAGGAGCCCTTGCTGAAGACGAGGACCTCCTTGAGCTCGTCGTCGGTGAGAAGGCCGACGGACTGCCGACCGGGGGGGGGGCAGGGGTGAGCGGCGGAGGGGGAGACGTGGGGAGGGCAGAGGTGCGGGAAGGGGAGGGTGCAGGGTGGGTGTGGCGAGACAAGGAGAGCTGGCTGCCTGGTAGTCGATGTTGACCATGGCCTCGTCCATGCCGTCCTTCTCCTCGCTGTAGCCAACCTTCTGGATCTCGTCGTCCGGCACTTGCGCCCCGTGCCCCGAGTACGAGATCCACCCCTGCCGCCCCTCCTTCTCGCTCAGCCACGCGCACAGCTTCTTCATCTCGCGGACGATGTTGGCCTGCGGGCCCGGCGGCGGCGGTGAGGAGGGGGGGGGCGAAAAGGCGGTCGAGGCGAAGGCCTCGCGCGACGATTCAAAGCGGGTGGCAACGGGCCGCCTAAGGAGCACGGTGCGGGCGGAGGGCGGGGCGAGGGCGCGGCGCCACCTTGGTCGGCTTTTCGTGGTAGTTGTCGCCGTCGGTGAGGAAGGTGACGTCGTAGCCTTGCTTGGGCAGCATGTCCACCATCGCAGCTTGGTCTCTCACACAGCCCGGCAGCGCCAGTTGGGTGCCGGGGTACGAGCAGCAGATGCACAGCGCCTTGCGCTCGGTCTTGCCGGCGCCCGTCTTGAGGTAGTTGAAGTTGGTGGTCGGGCCGGCGGCGCTCTGGTCGGTCATGGCTGCTGCGGCGTGGGCGGGCGAGGGTGAGGGAGGGCAGGGCAGGGTGGAGGGTGCGCGGCGGCGAGCGCCTAGTCTACGCTCGAAATGTGGCGCTGACTCCTTACTTGCGCAAAAGAATTCTCGCAACGCCCCTCTCACAGCAGACTGGCACGAACTAGCACCACAAAAGGCACAGCATAAAGAATTATTTCCAGCGGCAAACTGCGAACAGAGATAGGAAGAGGCAGACGACCAAGGGTGGGCGACGGCTAGCTCCTCTCCTTAAAATCCCTGGTGTGGTGGCGGTCCTAAAAAGAAAGAAGACAAACCCGCGGGAGGGATGGCGTTCCGTCCTCCCATTTCTTTTTTCTCTTTTCTATCTTGTTACCCCCCAGCGCCCAGCCCGCGTAGCCGCGTAGTTAGTCGAGCGTAGGGCATCCCAAGCAACAAAGACCTCTACTCCACTACTGCTACTACTACTGCTGCTGCCTCTCGGCTATTGGGGACCCGGGAATAGCGACACCTCGTCAAAGGCGAAAGCCACGTCACTCTGACGATGAAACCGCGCGCGGGGCCCGCCGAGCGACCGGATTTGGCACGAGTTGCAACTTTGGCCCGAGCGTGCGCGGCCCCGGCGGTATCCACGGCGGATCCCACGGTTCCCACGGCCATGCTCGCCTCGTTGGGCCTGCCCCTCGCGCTACCGACGCCGGGCAGGTCGCCGGAATTCGCCTCGCTGCCCAGCACCGCCCGGCTGCCCGAGAATTGCATCGGCGACATCGACAGCGACGGCTCAGGGTCCTTCAGCGTGGACGAGCTGTTGGCGGTGGCGCGGTCAATGCGCTGCCCGGGCCTGCACACCTACCCGACGTACGAGGCGGACCTGCGCTTCTCGTTCCAGCTTTTTGACCGAGACGGCGACGGCGAGCACAACGAGACCGAGGCGGTCGCGTACAACTACGCGGTAACGCACCACCGCGCGCCCTTCATCACCGAGGCCCTAGGGGCTTGCGAGCGGCGGTACCGCGCGCGCTGCGGCCGCGGCTCATCCGTTCGCTCCGCATCCTCTCGCCAGCGCCGCATGAGCGAGGATGCGGCATACGGCGGGACGATGGAGAGGACGTTTGAAGACGGCGCAAAAGTCACGATTGTCTACAGCACGGCCGGCACCATCCCAATCACGTCCATCGTGAACGTGCCGATTCCGTGGCAGCCGGGCAAGGGCGTCAACTACAGCACCGCCTCGCAGCTGCTGCCGTGCGCCGCCGACGAGGAGTTCTACGGCCGCGGCACGATTGTCAACGGCTCCATGGCGACCGGGCCCGGCGCCGCCGAGTCGGCGACCTATCAGGCGCAGCTCAGCTGCCTCAAGGCCTGCCTCGAGGCGGGCGCCAAGGTGTGCGCCAACACGTGCGCAGGCTGCTGGGCGGGCGACCGGCTGCTCCTCTCCTACGACGTGCCCGCGCCGACCTACGTGCAGCTCGGCGGCGACTGCCCGGGCTACAGCCTCCGGGTGGTCGGCTCCAGCCTCACGGTGCCGCAGTGCGAGGCGGCCTGCGACCAGCTCGACACGTGCGCGGGCTTCTCCTTTGCCGAGGAGCCGGGCGAGTGCCAGCTCGCGTACGCCGCGTGCTCGAACGACGAGGCCGTCGCAAACGGCGCGCGGCTCAACAACGAGACGGCCTTCTTCTACGTCAAGCAGGCGTGTTCCACGTGCCCCGTCGTCCGAGCGAGGACACATACACGCGTGAGACTGACGGACTGACTGCAGGCCTACGTGTCCCTCGAGTCCAACTGCGGCACGGCGCGCGTGGACATGTCCGACCCGGAGCCGGATAACTTTGAGGGTTGCGAGGAAGAGTGCACCAAGAGCCCGGGGGAGTGCGGCGGCTTCTCCTTCAAGGGCCCGCAGCCGACCTTCTCTGACGGCGCGTGGAGTGCGGTGACGGCGCCGAGCCAGTGCGTCCCGTCCAAGCCGCTGGTGACGGCACCCCAGTGCGGCACTTCGGGCGCCGACTGCGAGTCGGGATGCAGGTGCCGCTACTCGGCGAGCGGCTGCGATCCGTATACGTGCGACAGCTATGGCAGCCAGAAGGACTGTGACGAGAGCGCGGAGTGCGAGTGGTACAGCGGCTCGGGCTCGTGCTGCGATGGGCTGGTGTGCAACACGGAGGGAGTCGGGGTGGGCAAGTGCCAGTACCCCGGCGCGGTCGGCTCCTCCTGCAACTCTGGCGCCGATTGCGCGTCTGGGATCTGCGACACGGACATCAACGCAAACGGCCGCAAGACCTGCTCCGACTGCCTGACTCAAAACACGCGATGCTCGACGACGGACCAGTGCTGCGGCGGCGGCGAACCCGGCGGCTTGATTTGTGACACGCGGGGGGTTAACGCTTGCGTGCCCCCGCTCGCCAACGGCCAGCCGTGCTGGACAGACGGCGAGTGCCAGAGCAACATTTGCGACACCTCAGGAATAAATGAGTGCGTCTCGTGCCAGGGCGAGGGCGGCCACTGCGAGGGAGACAACTATTGCTGCTCGGGCATGGTCTGCCAAAAGTCGGGCATTAACCAGTGCATCAGCCCGCAGCCGGACGGGAGCCACTGCTACAATGGCGATGAGTGCTCGAGCGGGTACTGCGACACCCGGGGGATCAACGAGTGCTCGGGCTGCCTGCCTCAGGGCGCCGGCTGCTCCACTGGTGGGAACGACAACTGCTGTTCCGGTTTGGTTTGCAACACAGACGGTTTGAACTCTTGCCAGCCTCCCGCGGGGAACGGCGCGCACTGCTACCACGACTATGAGTGCGCGAGCGGTTACTGCGATACGGCCGGCGTCAATGCCTGCTCCAGCTGCCTGACGGACGGGGAGCGGTGTCAGACCAGCAGCAACTGCTGCGGTAACAACGACCCAAATAGCGGCTCTTACTAAATTTGCTACACGGGAGGAATTAATCAGTGTCAGGCCCCCAATCCTGACGGCGGGTCTTGCCGAGATGACTATCAGTGCACCTCGGGATACTGTGACACCCGGGGGATCAATTCCTGCTCGGGATGCATCCAGCAGGGCGGCGGGTGCGACAGCAGCAGCGACTGCTGCGGCAATTCGGATGACCCACCTCAGCTCGTGTGCAATACTGTCGGGATAAACTCGTGCCAGCCGCCGGGCGGGTACGGGGCTAGGTGTGAGGCGACGGACCAGTGCCAGGCTGGCCTTACGTGCGACACCTCTGGCCTCAACACCTGTCAGGGCTGCCTGAGCCAGGGGTCCGGCTGCGGCCACAACAACGGCGAGGTGTGCTGCGACGGGCTGCAGTGCAACCCTGATAACACGTGCCAGCCGAAAGTGGAGTATGGCGAGCCGTGTACGGTGTGGTGGATGTGCGACTCGGAGGTGTGCGTGGGCCAGGTGGAATACCCCGAGTACGGCATAACCGAGGACGTCACCTCGACGGCCGAGAATGGCTACACGCTCACCACCGGAACCTGCTACGGATCGGCGTCGCCTAGCCCGCCCCCCGGGGACGTCTACGCGGACTTGTGCCAGCCAAACGCTTCGTATGCAGACTACATCTTCTACAAGCGGCTGCGTGCCGGCGGGGCTGTCGCGTGCGGCAGCACAGGCAGCAACAACGGCGCGCCGCTGGTGCCGTCATGGCAGAGCTGCTACTCGATCGACACCTCACTGCCCTACACTCTGCTCAGCTATATGCCCTGCACCTCGGACGACTGCTGCAGCTGCACGGGCACTGGCAACGAGATCAGCTGCAGCACTACGGGCGTTCGATACTGCGCGTCGGGGCAGGATTGCTACGCTCCCACCGGCAACTCCTACGCTTACGGAGAGTGGTCGTCTCTGTGCGCTGCGCCGCAGGCAGCACCGCCAGCGCCGAGCCCCCTCACGCAGCAGGAGTGCTACAGCGCGTGCGTCGCAGGCGGATACGCGACTTGCGCTTGGCAGTTCAACGGATGCTACGGCGGAGAAGGGACACCCTCGGCCCGATCCGGTTGCACGTCCTCGACTTACCAGTTCGCAACCGTGGTTGGTCCCTCGTGGAAGAGCTGCTACTCGGTCTCCGAGCCCTTCACGCCGCTCGGCAGCGGCCTCACGCAGCAGGCGTGCTTCAGCGCTTGCGTCGCGGGCGGGTTTGCGACTTGCGCTTGGCAATACAATGGCTGCTATGGAAGTGCGGGGCCTCCCTCGCCGCGTTCTGGCTGCACGACCTCCTCATTTCAGTACGCCACGCCCGTCACCAGCGGCCCCGACCCACCCGGGCCGCATTGCGAGACGGAGGCCTTCTCACTCGAGGGGCTGGCGGCGCGCGACCTACTCAAAGGGTGCACGTGCCACGCTTGCGGCGAGAAGACGGTGCCGTGGACCCTCGAGGTGGACGCTGGCATGGCCACGAGCGAGGACAGCAGCGTGACGCTCATCGTCTCCGATTCGTCGCTGTCCGCGCCACAGAGCCCCGCGGCGTGCTACGACCAGTGCAGCGCTTGGATGCCAACCTACTGGCAGGGCAACTCGGCGTACGACTCCACCCCGCCGGCCTGCGTCTTCAGCCCCGCCTGCTCGGGCAGCCCCGCCTCGTGCTCGCTGCTGAGCTCGGGGTCGCAGGTGCTCACGTACACTTCGGCACCCTCGTCGGCCTCCTGTGTCTCGCGCGGCGTCGAGATGAACCAGCCCTTAGCGCCGACCTCGGGGTCCTGCGCCGCACCGAGCAGCACTTGTGACCAGTCGACGCCGACGTGGAGCGACTACTCCTCCGGCTGCTACTTCTCAGGCCTCCCCAACATGCCCGAGCAGGACATGTGCGACTGCTCGCGGCAGCAGTTGACCTGGCAGTCGGTCAAGCACGGGCTAGTGCGCTACGAGGAGGGCGCGGCCTACCAAAAGGTGGAGTCGTCGCTCGAGGGCAACTGGACGCTAGTCGAGTACCAAACATCCACTGGCCAAACCAAGTTCGCGGCGGCGCCCTCCTCGAGTGTCTCCGACTGGTCGGGCAACACGAGTGCCGTCGAGGTGCTTCCAGTCGCGCAGTTTGACGTTGGGCAGGACGCGGCGGAGGAGGCGGCGTCGGTGGTCGCGACGGATGCCGCCACCGCCCTCAAGCTGGCGGTGATCGCGGCCAACGCGCCACCCCAGACGTTTGCCCAGGCCGGGCTGCAGTCCATCAAGCAGAGGTGCTGGAGCGCGATGACCCTGGCGCCGTCCGCAGCGCTGGGAGCTTGGACAGCAACCCTCACCAGCAAAGCCATCAAGGGCTTGGCGAAGTGCTCTGCCAAAAATCCAACAGACGCAGAGAAAAAGGCCAACAGCTGTGACTTTGGTGCGACCATGCTCCACGATCTTCTTGACAGCGCGATCATCGGCCAGCTGCGAAGGTGCCTCTATTCCCCCGTTCGCTTCCTCGAATCGGAGGTGCCAGGCGCGGGCAAGTACTTAATCAGGACGACCAATCTGCAACGGTACCTCGCCCAAGGAGCTTGGGCCGCGGGATCTGGCCAGTGGGGTGTCTTCCCCGCGACGAAAGACCTCGCCTCAGCCCTATGTGCAGTCGCAGTCGGCGGCAATGGTGGCGAGTGGACCGACTGGATTCAATCGAACGCGTCGTTGCTTGGCATCACGGGGCCTGATGGCAGCACTGTCAACTGGAACAACCAGCTGCACAACGTGGATACTCCGTTTTGTGCGGCTTTGATCACTCCCTTTATTGGGATGCTGGTGGGAGCTGCGATGTTCAAGGATGGGGGATGGGCTTCCACAAACAAATTTGTGTGCAATGGTCTAGCCCTCAGTGATAGGATGACTTGTAAGCGCTACCTTCACAAGGGAGGCGGATGCGAAGGCTGGAACCTGCTTAACCCACTTTGCAAATCGGACTGGATCTCCAAGGACATGGTAAAAAGTGGCATCGGCTGCACGGACGCGCCGTCTGACGACGCACCAAACGAGGAGTGCATGAAAAGGTGCTACAAAAAGATTCCGGATGAAACGGCTCGCAGCAACAAGTGTCGCGAGCTCGAGAAGGCAAAGTGCTTTGAGAAGGGGCACGGAGACGGGCACGGGATACCTGGCCCGTGCGAGTCGGATTACTCGAACGCGGCCCTCAAGGAGAGTGGGTGCAACTGCGGCGTCGATGATACGGACGAAAAGTGTGAGGACGACCCCGGCGACAATAGTGGTGACAACGACGGTAAGAATGATGGCAACGATGATTCACACAGCAATGATGCAGACAACGGTTCAAACACCGGTAATGAGCACCCTGAACAGAGAGAGGTCGAGTCTTGCCGCGACCAAGAGCAGATGAACGGCCTCTTAGAGGAGCGTTTGAGCATCGTCGCTGAGAATGGCGACCACGATCTTCCCGTATCCGAGTGCGAGAGGCGGCAGCGCCGGCGCTTGGACGGCGAAGTCTGCAGGAGGGTTGACGAGGAGGCGGAAGAGGAGGTGGAGGAGGACCTGGAGGATGAGACGGAAGAGCTCGTCGACCTTGAGCTCGATAGCCTCGACGACGCGCTCACAGACAGCGTGAGCCAGCTACTGGACGGCACTGGCGAGATTGAGTTTGAAATGGCGCAGGAGGTCATCGGCGTTGAAATGGAGACGGTGGTTGACGTCACGGACGAGGCCGTTGCTGACGCAATGGCCTCCGCGGAAGCGGCCGCGTCGGAGGCGGCGGCTGACGTCGCGGCGGAGGTAACGGCCGACGTCGCGATCGACGCAAGTATCGCGGAAGTGGGTGCGGATGTCGGGCTCGAGGTTGCGCTGGACGCGTGCATCGCCATCTGCTGGATGTGAGCGTGCTGACCTTGGGCCGCTGCCTCCGCCTCCCAGCACGGACACACGGGCTGGGGCTGTAGGGAAGATGCTGTACCTGTACCTGAAGTAGCTCTAGATCTGCAGTGTGTGCCGGGGGGGTGTTGCAGCTATACTGCCAAATTCTGTGATATGTGGGTGTGTAGACTTGTGGTGACTTCGCAAGCCAAGACACAGGAAATTCCTAGATCCTACCAAACCATTGCTAGAGACACACAGAGCACGGACACGAGTGGGAACTGCTCCTTTTTAGATTTTGTATACCCATCTCCCCTCGATATCAAAATGTATCATTCCTGATCCTGTATATCTTGTCGGCGCCTGGGCCCGCGGGGCGGCGGGCGCGGGGCGTGCCCCTCGCGTGCTGCCTGCCGTGTTGCTGTTGGGCGGGGTGCCGGTGCGCGGTGTGGGACCGGGGGGCGGGCGGTCGGTTATATACTACAATATAGTCTTCTCTCAGAAAAAAAATTGCTTTTGAAGAAAAACGCCGTAACGGGCACGCAGAGTCTCCCCCCTCCATTCTCTCCCCCTTGGCGCTCCGTGTAACGCGTACCAGTGTAGGCTAGGTGTGCGGGGCGAATGAGTGATGAAGTTAGTGCCTTGGTGTCCGTTCCCCATGGTGGCTTCCCCTGGTCTCTAGCGACCATGAATGAGAGCTCTCACTCTCAGGGTACTCCCGCGTATCTCGGCTCCCTTATCCCCCCCCTCTTCCCTCCCCTTTCTCTCTCCGAGATGACCCGTGCGCTACGTGCCAAGGTTCGGTCCTCGGGGAGGGGGGATTGGCGGTGTGTCCTCGTGAGTTGTTTGTCGATGGACGCCCAACAGTTTTGTAAGTTTCGATTCCCCTCCTTAGCGCCCCGGGTAGAGCGTGGCCTCCCCTGGAGCCTGCCACGCCCGTTCTGTCTAAGCCCAGGGTTCAGCTTTCCAGTTGATCCTTATCGGACTGGTGAGTTCTCTCTCCCTGTCGGTGTGACGCCCCGGCAGTCATTGGCAGCGGTGCTACACACACCACGCCGTTTTTCGTTTGACGTTTCCAAGTAGGAACAAGAAATTTTGTCTCGTCATGATGTTTTTCTTTTTTTGCTTATGGCAGTAAAAAGAAACGGAACTACGGGCGACAGGCGCGGGCTCGGTCGATGTCCAATCCTTCGACTCACAACAACATGTACATGTAGCATGTGCATGTGCATGCACATGTTGCACGTGTACATGTGCATGTCATGTTCACTGCTGCGGTGTGTGCCTGGGAAGGCGCGGCGGCGGGATGGATTGAGAAGGTCTCAGAGAGACTGCAGGCGTGCAGAGGCGCGCGCTGCAGTGTCTCTGATTGGGCTGCTGGCGGTGTGAGCGCGAGACGGCGTGGTGAGGCGAGGGGCAGGCTGTTGTTGCGGGGTGCGGGCTGCATCGTTGAGCGCAGTGCGTGCACATGGTGCTGTATGCTGTGTGTGCAGGCAGGCTGGCAGTCTGTGCAGCAGAGAGCGGATGAGCGCGCGCGCGCGCGCGCGCGTGCGGGCGTGCGTGCGCGGCTTGCGTGGTGCAGGGCCTGCGTCGTACTCGCGGCGCGTCCTGGTACTGCCGCTTGTGAGATGCCAGAAGCAGTGTGCAGAGCCTGCACAGGGCGCAAAAAGGCGAGGTAGTGCTGGTGAGGTGTGCTGCGGCGCGCGCGTCGCGGCGGGAGTGGACGAGCGGCTGGATCTGGTAGTGCGAGGGGCGCGCAGCTGGTGCGGGCGGCGCGGGACGGCCATGGGGCGCCAGCACAGGGCTTGCGCCCATGACACAGGCTTCTGGGCGCTGCTCGTGTGTTTGCGTGCGCGCGGGGACGTACGCGCAGTTTTCACGCGGTGTGCGTGGAGAAGGGCATGAGGGGCGCCGGCCGCGCGCGGCTCGGCGTGTGCGAGTGCGTGTCGTGTGGTTTTCGGTGCCCTAAGGCGACTGACCAGTCTTGCTGCCATCGCGGAGCGAAGGCTTTAGAAGAAAGGCCGTCTTCTCTCTCAGATCCGCTTTCTTATGTGAGAACGTGAACGACGTCGCACATTGTGATTGACTGTACCCAAGTACGAAACGCGTACACCAAGGGAAAGCAGTCTCAAGCTCACATCAGAAACTGCCCGTCCGTGCGAAAGCCCAGCGACCACGAGGCCTCATCCTCCCGCGCCTCGTCCTGAGCCGCGCCCGCCGCTGCTCCGCGCGCCCCCCCCGCGCGCTCTCCCTCGGGCGCCGTCGCCTCCGTGTGGTGCGCCCACCGCGCCGGGAAGAAGAGCACGTCTCCCGGCCGCAGCTGCGCCTCGAGGCATGCGTCGCCGGCGGCGGCCAATTCCGCGTCGGCGGGCCGCGGCCCGGTGAGAGGGAGCTGCAGCCGCCTCGCGAGCGGGTGGTCGTCTGCATACGGCCGCAGCGCGCGCAGCAGGCCGGCCGGCCACAGCAGCATGCGCTTGGCGCCGCGCACCTGGCAGAGCGGGGCTCGTGCAGCGCAGAGCTGAAGGGGGGAGCGGCTCCGGCGGCGCAGTGCCGCACGGGGGCGGTGGGTGGGTGGGTGGGTGGAGGTCGTGGTTGGTGGGTGGTGGGGTGGGGTGGGGTGAGGGGTGAGGGGGGGGGTTGGGGTGAAGGGGGGGGGGGGGGGGCTCTTGCAAGCCGCCTGGCAGAGGTACGAGTCCTGCTCGTCAAAGTGGAGCGGCGAGAGCGTGCCCGGCGCAGACACCCACAGACGGCCGAGGACAGAGGCGTAGCCGCCCGGCGGAGCCTCGGGCAGGAAGCCAAAGTCCACGTCCGCCATCAGGGAGGGCGGTGCGAGCGCCTGCAGGCGAGGGAGCTGCAAGTACTGGACCCACAGCCCTGAGAGAAAGAGTGTAAGTGCGTGTGTGTGTGGTCTGAGTATCTTATGTGTTTGTGCGTGCGAGAGAGCGCCTGCAGGTATACGCGCTCCTCGTCGCCGTACAGCAGCGGCGGAGCTCCCCCACGGCCGCGACGAAGCCGGTGGACAAACTCGGCGCCGCGCATGGAGAGGATGCGCGAGGGCGGCTCGAACTCGCCCGAGCGGACCAGCGGGTGCGACTCGCGGCAAAACATCACCGCAGGGCCCGGCGAGACACGCACCATGCCCCGCGCCAGCGAGCGGGCCAGTGAGGGCAGCGTCCACGAGCGCAGCGCCGCCCAGCGCCGCCCGACGCCGCGGAAGAGCACCTGGGCGCGTGGAGAGGGCGGTGAAGCGCAGGCGAAGAAGCGGGACAGGCGGAAGACAATCTTCAGAGAGGAGAAGGCACCGGAGCGTCTCCCGCGGCGACGGCCTCCCATGCGGCAGAGAGGCCCTCGGGGCGCGTGCAGTCGTACTCGCGCACGGATCCGGACGGACGCACCCAGAGCGGCTCGAGCGCAGCGGAGAGCAGCGGCGCGGGCTCCTCCTCCTCTTGCACCGGAAGAAGGTCTGCGCCCGAGGAAGCGGCCTCTGGAGGTACTCGGCCGTCGAGCGCAGCCCGAGTCTCGCTGTCGAGGTCGGCGGGGAGAAGGCCGTCGATGAGCGCCTCCTCCCACACGCGATACAGCACCGGACCGCTCACGCCCTCCGAGATGCAGGCCCTGAGCGCCTCGAGCTGCGTGTCTCGGCTGACTCGCTCGCCGCTGGCTCGTGTGATGGCGATGTCGGTCAACAACGCTCCCACATCGACGCGCGGCTGCGGCATGAGGCGTGAGAGCAGGCTTATGTGGATCAACATGGCCGATCTCCTCGCGCTTGGCCGCGATCTCCTCGCGCTTGGCCTGGGTTCGGACTTTTGGTATTGTATGGTTCGGCAGGCTCGAGACCATACCCCCCCGCCTGCTCACAGCCTCCCGGAGACCGGGGATGGGCGGTCAGGACCATACCCCCCCACCCTTTGGGCCGCGAGACTACCATACCACACCCCGCAAAAAGTTGGAACCCTGGAGGGCTTTGGCAAAGAATTCTCGCGAGGACTAACGATTTTGACCAGAAGAATTTTCGACGTGGATTTTGCCGGGCCTGGTGCTGCACACCGCCATCGCAGCGTGTTGAAAAGGCGCTCTTGTCGCCACCGCGGTGGTGATCGAGCGCGTCGCGCACACGATAAAACGTGCGTACGCGATGGTGGTGAGCTCGGTCGAGGGTGGTGGGCCGAAAACGCGAGTAGGTACGGCCGCGCGGGGCCACGGCGAGCTCCGCGCAGAAATCGCGCGCTTCGCACAAATCGCTGTGAGAGTCGTGATTTCTTGTTGGGAGAGAGAGACTTGTTGGTCTTTAAAAATCTCTCTCTCAAATCGCAGAAATCGACGGCCTGACAGCCCAAGTCCCACCACCACCCGGGGACCACCACCACCCGTGTCCCAAAGTGAGAATTCCGATTGGAGGACAGGTTGCACCCGGCGGTGTTAGTGAGAGAGTGATTTCTTCTCGAGCCAGTCTGCTGTGAGAGGGGCTTTAGTAAAATTCTTCTCGCTCACTCGGTGTTGGTCGACAGCGCTGTCCAACGTTTGGCGCTCAATGCGACAGCGCCAGGTCTCCTCATCCTTGTCGCACGACCAGGGCTCCTCCCAGAGCCCTTCCCACGCCCGCCGATACGCGGAAACGAGCGACGTTCACTTTGTCTCCATCCCGCCTGGCACGGCTCCTGGAGAGTGGTTTCGCGTGCTCTTGCCAGGGTACGAGCCGCCCCGCTGGCTCGACATGCAGATGCAGGAGGGTTACAGCGAAGAGGCGAGGCTCGAGGTGACCGTGCCCAAGCTGGGTCCGTCGGTCTACGCCACGCGCGCCCGCCGCGCCCTGCCGGCGCGCGTGTTCCGAACGTGCCTCACGCCGACATTTGCCGTGGCCTTCATCTGGTCGCTCGTCCTTGCGAACTGGGCCGTCGTCGTCTGCAACTACGCCTGCCGTTCCTTCCGCCCCGATGTGGAGGGATCTCCTGGCCAGCTCTCCCTCGGCATCGTCCTGCTCGGCCACGCCATCCTGCTGCTGCAGATCGTCTCGTTTTGGCAGCTGCAGGCGACGCACCCGGGAGCTCCGCCGCTCGTCTTTGGTGGCGGGCCGGGCTGCTCGCGCGTGTGTGCCCGCTCTGGGCTCCAGCAGCCCGAGCGGGCGATGTGGGCGACCAACGCTCGCGGGTGGCCCGTGGGCCAGGAGCCGGCGGCGAACCGCGCGCGAGTGTGCGTAGGTGAGCTCTGCGGGCGAGATGGTGCTCGGAGTCGATCACTACTGCTTCTGGGTCGGCTCGCCGGTGGGACTGCGCAACCGCAAGTGCTCTCCTCTCCCTCCGCCTCTGCTCCGTGTGGACAGAGCCCACGTAGTGAGCCCACTCGCCGCAGAGAGCTAGTGGACAGAGCTTGTGGACAGACAGGCGCCCGCTCACAAGCCGCGGCTGTCGGTTGTGGGCGACAGGTACTTCATCCTCTTCCTCGGCTACTCGGCCCTCCTCTGCCTGTACGGTCCGCGCCACGCCCTCGCGAGCCCGCCCTTCTGCTGCCCCCTCTGCGTCCTTCCTTGCCCGCCCATTCGGCTCGGTGACACCGAGGCGCGGCAAGCCACTCCTGACACCGCGCACAAAAGCGGCGGCGGATGAGGCCGGGGGCGGAGAGCGGCCGCGGGGGGCTCGACCCACCTCCCCTCTCGCCCTCGTGCACGGTTCGACCCTCCCTCTCGCCCTGCTGCAGGCGCGTTCGCCCTCGGCCATGAGGTCTTCAACGGGCTGTCCGCGCGCGGCGACGCCTCCCCAGATGCGGAAGACGGACCCTGCTGCACCTCCGACTCACACCCTCCAGTCTGCACATGCGCGTACCACCGCAGTCGCCCCCTCTTCCATCGCCACCCCCCTCGCGACGTAGCTTTCCTCATCGCCACCTCCGCCGCCGCGACCACCCGTCCCCCCCACTCCAGCCCCCCACTCCAGGCAACGCCTTCCTCGACGGGCTCGAGAAGCGGGGCATGCCATCCCTGCTCGCGGCGGCGGCGGACGACGACGAGAGGAGCGCACTGCGCATCGCCCAGTTCTTCGCCACCATGTCGTTGCACGCGCCAGAGTCACACCAGCTCGGATCGGCTCTGGTGCTTGCCTCACCTGCCTCGCTTCCCCCCCCCCCCCCTTTTCCTTTGGAGCACTTCCCAATGCCCCCCCCCCCCCCCCTCCTTCCTCCACTCTCCCCGCCAACCCTCCCTCCATTGCGGCCCGCTCCCGTCCCCCGCGCCCGCTCCCCCAGCTCCCTCCCGCGGCGCCACCCCGCCCCCACCCGCCGCCCTCGAGGTTCCGTCCTTCTCCGGCCCCTTCCTCGTCTCGCTCGTCCTCGCAGCGTCGACCGCAGAGCGGCTCCACGCGGCGGCCGCCGTGACCTGCTTCCTGCTCGACGTGCCCGTCGGCTGCCTCCTCTTCATGTTTTGGTCGTGGCACTCCTTGCTCGCGCTCCGCAACCGGACGACCCTCGACACAAAGTCGAGCAGGTATGACGTCGGGCCGCGCCGCAACCTCGAGCAGGTCTTCGGGCGGAGGCTGCTGCTCTGGCCGATCCCGATCAGAGGGGACGGGCCGAGCGTCGACGGGCTGCATTGGCCGCTCAACCCAGCCTGCAAGGACGAGGACGTGGCGCCGTGACGGCGGAGCAGTTGCGGCACAGAGACGAGATTAGAGTCGAGCTGCGTCGCGTGTGTAGATTCAAGTGTGTCGGAGCGAGACCCGTGTGTCAAAAGTGACTCGTTGTTTTATTTTAATCACCCCGTTTTTGCCCATTTTCGGTCATCCGTCAAAATATCTGAAGATCCTTCTATAGGATTCTCCCCAAACCTTGCTCAGCTGATCCAGCCTGGGGGGAAGGCCAGCCCTGGGCAAAGAAACCAGCACCTCATCGGGCTTCCCTGAGCGTCACAGCTCGGTGATCGCGCCGGCCGGACACCACTGTAACGTCCGTTCCGGGCATTTGAACGCGACCTTCGGGGGCAAAGACATGGGCTCTATGGCTCAGACTGGACTCCTCTTGGTCCCTTCTGATGCCCTAGGCCACACCTGGGCCTTACCTGGGGCGCTAGGGGGCGGGCGGGGTTTGCCCCCCGAAATCCCTTGAGTTGTCTGTTTTCTTTCTTTTCTTTCCTCGGAGACCCGTGTTTATTTTAAGGCCCTTTCCCTGCGAACGCGCACCCCCCTCCTTAGGGGTTTGCCCGTAGCCCGATGCCGATCATCCGGCCCGCTGGGTGCGCTTCTTAGCTCCCCGGCCCTGGATGTGAGGTTAATGACTGCACTCTCCAAGTGCTCCAAGTGCGCGGGCGCACAGGACTGGCGCGCACTGGCACTAGATCTAACACAGGTACGCCACGGGAGCCGCGTAAGCGACTCCTGCGAGGACGGCGAGGCACTTAGCTCCGAGTAGAGGGGGCGTTTCATGTCCTCTGAGATTGTGTGGCGTGCCGGTGGGGCGGTTGTGATCGATCGGTGACGAAGGCCCGGCGAGAGGGTCTGAGCGAATGGTTGGGTAGTAGGGCTAGAGGGTCGCTCTACACTTAGCCTCTGCAGCGAGCGAGCGCTCAACTTAGCCCCCGCACGGAGCCGGGCTCGGACTTAGACCCCCATGGTCGGGGGCCATGAACTTAGACGACATAAGGCCAACTCCGGGTAAAACCAAGATATACCTGAAAAGCTTTCAGGTTTACCCGAAAAATACCTGGACGCGTCCCGACCAACGTTTGCCGCGCACGACGCCATATCGCCTTCGCCCAGGGCCAGTGCGCTACTTGCGGCGCGCAACGCCTGCTCAAGTACGCGCAACGTACCATATGCTGCCGCTATGCGTGCCTTAAGGCGGCTGCGGCGAAGCGGCGGGCGCGGCATGCCGATGGCAGTGCGGACGATGCGGTTGCGATGTGTTCTGCTTCAAGATCGTGGCGGTGCTTGGCATGCACTTCTGCGATCCCAATATCAGCTCATCGCAACGAAGCAGCGCAACAAGCTGGCTGCTGTCAACAAGGCCCTATGCTACCTCACGCGCGGATCGTTCAAAGAGGACCAGCATACACAGGCTTCTCTGACATGCGTTTGTTTGAGCTTGAGGCTATTTGTGAGAACTGTTTGGCGAAGAAGTCGCCGAAGATTGCGCTCAAGAAGCAGCAACGAGAATCGGAAGAGGAGGATGCTGAGGCGGCGATTGCTGAGCATGAGAAGGATCGATCGCCCGCCGCAGGCGAAGAAAATTTGGGGGTTGCGCCGTATCGTTTGTACGTTGATCACGGTGGGAGCCTCTTGGCCCCAGGCCGTCCACGGCCGACTTAGCCGATGTAAGAGGCTCCCGCTGATCTTAGACCGCGCAAGCACTCCAGCGTGGCTAGCCACACTTAGACCCGTTAGGCCTCCAGGCTCAGAACTTAGACTACTACCCAGCCCAACCAGTTCTGAGCGTCGCCCTTCAACTGCCGACCACGAGGGCCGGAAAATACAGAGCAAGACTTACCTAATAAACTCACGGTCACGACACAGCGTCTTTGTGTGGCACAAGAGACGAGAAGCACGACGTCGGGCGATTGCGAGGCCTCACCCAACAATTAAAGGAGCGCTTATGGACATTGCTGGGCGTATGTATATCGACGGGGCGAGGGAGGGGCGGCGGCGGCGAGTGACAGAGGGTAGGCGCATCGGGGTAGCGAGCGCCGCGCGCCGCCGCATGGAGGTGTGCTGCTGCATGACGCGCCGCGTCTCAAATCTTGATTTGGCGGGGCGGGTTCGGCATCCTGCCCGCCGTGCAGCTCGCGTACAGGTAGACGCAGTAGTTGACCTTGAAGAAGACGCCGATGGCGAGGATGGCGATCAGGTCGGTAAGGACGGTGTTCTCGCTCGAGATCGCGTCGTAGGTCTTGGAGAGCGAGTCGAGGATCTGCGGCCCCGTCTCGCCATAGCAGGAGAGGCCGAAGGGGTCCTCTTCGGTCGAGGGGCAGTAGAAGCCCTCGTCCGGGCAGTAGGAGACGGCGCCGGCGCCGGTGCTGTTGCAGGCTAGCGTCCCCTCGTAGGGCGGCGACGAGGCCATGATCGAGTACGCGGTGGCGCCGAAGAACCACTTCATCGGCAGGCAGTAGTAGAGGAGGCGGAGCGGCCAGATGACGTCGCGGCCGCGGAAGACGAGGCCCGAGAAGAGAGCCGAGATGAACCAGACGTTGAGGTACTTGAGCATCCCGACCAGCGGGTTGGCGCTCAGCGAGAAGAACTGCGCGATGCACTCAAACGCCCAGCAGTGCGCGGAGAAGAGGGCGAGCGTCGTCAGGAAGGTGTGCCACGGCCAGCCGAGGATGAGGTAGGTGGGCAGCATCGCGCAGAGCCCAAAGGCGAACATCATCGGCAGCTGCAGCAGGCCGTTTGCGAGCGCGTACGCCATCGGGCCGTACATGCCGTCCTTGACCTCCTTCTTCACCGTCACAAACTCGGCGTTGAGCGCGTAGACGGCGATGACGGGGAAGGCCACCGGCACGCAGACGAACCAAAAGACGTAGAAGGCCTTTTGCATGATCTGCACCTGCGTGAGCTGGCGCGACTCGAGGTAGACGACGCAGAAGAAGACGGTCACCGCAAAGATGACCACCATCCTCGCCGTGTACAGCATCGGCTCTCGCACTGTCAGGACCGCGTGCCGCTTGAACAGCAGCAGCACCTGCCCCACGAAGCCGGACACGGCGCCGCGCTCGCCGAGCTGCTGCGGCTCGCGCAGGAAGACCGGGGGCGCGTGCTTCGGCCACGCGTCGAGCACCTCGAGCACCGACGCCTTGGACGTGAAGTCCGCGTTGACGACGTCGAGCGCGTACTCGGCCGGGTTGGCGTTGGCGGGAAGCTCCCGGCCCACGCCCTTCAGGTGCTGCGCCAGCTGCGCCGCGGGGCCAAAGTAGGCGATGTGGCCGCCCGACAGGATCAGCGTGTCGTCGAAGCCCTCGAAGACCGACGCGGACGGCTGGTGGATCGTGCACACGATGGCGATCTTGGTGCGCTGCGCAATCACCTTGAGGAAGGACATGATCTTGGCGGAGGCGGCCGAGTCGAGGCCCGAGGTGGGCTCGTCGAGGAAGATGACGGACGGCCGCTTCGCCAGCGCGATCGCGAGCGACAGGCGCCGCTTCTGCCCGCCCGACAGCCCGCGGAAGAACATGTTGCCCGCCTTGGTGTGCTGGCAGCTCATCAGACCGGTCGAGTCGAGCAGGTCGTCGATCGCGGTCTCGCGCTCCTTGGCGGAGAGCGAGGGGCGGTACAGGTCGATGGCCATGCGCAGGTGCTCGCGGCACGTGAGGAAGGTCCAGAGGAGGTCCTGCTGCGTCACGTACGCGCAGTGCTGCGCGTAGAGCGCCGGAGTGAGCGGGTGGCCGTTGAGCGTCAGGTATCCCGTGGCGTTGCCCTTGCCGGTGAGCAGGGTGAGCATGTTGAGCATGGTGGTCTTGCCCGCGCCCGACGGCCCCATCACGGCGAGCACCCGTCCGCCTGGCACATTCGCAGACACGTTGTCCACCAGCTTCCGCTCCTTCCTCTCAATCCCACGCAGCTTTGCGAGCGGCGGGAGCGGCTTCCCCGCCTTAGTGACCTGGATGGTGTAGGAGCAATTGATGAAGGCGAGCTCAGTCGTGTCGTCGCCAACGAGCATCGTCGCCATGCGCGGGCCACGGCGCGAGAGCCGAGAGGCCCTGGCCATGGAGTACCGGATCGCCGCTCGGATGGCGCCGACCCGAGGAGAGCCGGGCGTGTTGCCCTCGGTGCTGGCGCGGGTGACGCGCGCGAGCGGAGCCTGGCGTCCTCCGCCGGCCTCCTCGTCCGCGCCCTCGAGCGCGGCCGAACTCGACTCGGCCGGCATTGGGCGTCGGCGTGCGCCCTTAGCGCAGCAAGGTGCTATGGTCGGTCGCCCGTCCGGCCGCGATTTTCTTTTTTATTTCGATGTTGGATTTGGCCCTACGGCGTTCTCTCCTCAGTCCCGTACCGGTTTCGTGCGAGAGAGGGCGCTCGAATTGTGCGACTACCCAACCGATGGCGTGAGATAGGGTGCGAACCTTTCTCGCCGAGGCTCGCCGTGGCCCCACACGGCGGCCTCTGCTCGCGTTTTCGAGCCAGGACCTTCGTCCGGGCCCACGGCCGGCACGCCGTCAAATTTTCTCGCCGATCCCGCGCGCTCGGCCGCCACCGCGGCGCCTTCGAGAGCGCCGTTTCGACACGCTGCAGCCGCGGGCCGCGGCACCTCGTCACACCGCCTCTCGCGCCGCCTCGAGGTGCTCCGATCGTGCACGCGGGTCGGCTCGGCACGGTGCGTGCGAATTATCGCATGTATTCGCACTCGCTGCGCCACGTATCTGCCTCTGACGGCCCGATACGCCTCCCGAAGCGCCACAGGTCCACACACGCGGGGCTGCGCGACTCTCTCGCGGCCCACCGCCCTCCCACACGCCGTTCGACCTCCACACAGGCGCTCGCTCGAGCCTCGCCGTCCGGGCGGTCCTGCGCGTCCAGATCTCGGCGACCATGACCCGCCACGCGCCAGCTCTGCACCTCTCCCGCGCGCGCCCGGCTGCTGGCATGGCGTGGCGGGCGAGGCTGGCGCGCTGCGACCGGTGGAGCGCCGCGCGGGCAGCGCACCAGCCTCGCACGCACCTCTCCACTGCGCCGCGTGCGCCGAGTTGCGTTAAGACGCAGTCAGCGGCCTTGACGGGTGAGTTCACACATAGCTCGCGGTCTGAGCGAGGCTCTTGGTGCGGCGGCAGCGTAGTGTGTGTGTGTGCGGAAGCAGCGCTCCTCGAGCCAAGGCTCGATGGCGGACGAGCGGTAGTGCGCAAGGCGAAGGGACGACCGCAGACTTCACACCCAAAAAACGTCGTCACACTGGGGGGGGGGGGGGGCAGTGCGGTGAGGCTGCCCAGCGGGGGCTCACCCCCTGCACCGGGCGGGGGGGGGCAGTCCCGTGACTGGCATTGCGCGCCGCGTGCGCCTGTTCTTCGGAAACGTGGACACGTGCGCTCGCGTTTTGTGAGAAGACGAAAAAAGAAACACATTCACAGCGACCTCCGACGCGGGGCGGACCGGGAGCCCGAGATTGTCCGTATCCATGTCCATGTGACGCGGGTCGCGGCGCGTCGCCTCTCGTCACAGTCTCAACACGCGATCTCGACCTGGGGTGTGTTGAGCCAGCGATCAGCACACACAAGCCACCACAAGCCACACCGTGACTACCCTGTGACCACATGTTGAGCCTCGCAGCACACTGCCAGCGGCGCACGCGGCGCAGTGGAGAGGTGCGTGCGAGGCTGGTGCGCTGCCCGCGCGGCGCTCCACCGGTCGCAGCGCGCCAGCCTCGCCCGCCACGCCATGCCAGCAGCCGGGCGCGCGCGGGAGAGGTGCAGAGCTGGCGCGTGGCGGGTCATGGTCGCCAAGATCTGGACGCGCAGGACCGCCCGGACGGCGAGGCTCGAGCGAGCGCCTGTGTGGAGGTCGAACGGCGTGTGGGAGGGCGGTGGGCCGCGAGAGAGTCGCGCAGCCCCGCGTGTGTGGACCGGTGGCGCTTCAGGAGGCGTATCGGGCCGTCAGAGGCAGATACGTGGCGCAGCGAGTGCGAATACATGCAATAATTTGCACGCACCGTGCCGAGCCGACCCGCGTGCACGATCGGAGCACCTCAAGGCGGCGCGAGAGGCGGTGTGTCGAGGTGCCGCGGCCCGCGGCTGCAGCGTGTCGAAACGGCGCTCTCGGAGGCGCCGCGGTGGCGGCCGAGCGCGCGGGATCGGCGAGAAAATTTGACGGCGTGCCGGCCGTGGGCCCGGACGAAGGCGCCGCCGGCTCGGATTGAGTCCAGTGGCATCAGGGGCGCCTCCAGCACTCAAGACAGTAGCACGCTGTTTCTGTCTTGGCCGCCACTGACGCGAAAATCCTATCTCGCGCCCTCGTTGGGTAGGAGTGCGAGGGAGTGTTGAATTCGTTGAATCTAGGTAAAGCGTTTCCTTGCTGTTCCTTGCTCAACCTTACCGTCCGAAAAGAAGAAATTCGATTCATCAGTCGGCCGACTCCGCCCAGCACTGCTCTCAAGGACACGAGCATCTGGCCTCATGCCACGCCCCGCGGACCCGTACCCAATTAATGCGGAGCCGCAGAAGCGCGTCGCCGTCATCGGCTCCGGCATCGCCGGCCTCACCGCGGCGCACCTTCTCTCGCGGCGCTACCACGTGACGCTCATCGAGCGCGAGGAGGTGCTAGGCATGGATGCGCACTCAAAGACGTCGCACAACGCGCGGATGGACATTCCGCTGCGTGTCTTCTCCGAGAGCTACTACCCAAACCTCTGCCGCCTTTACCGCTCGATCGGCGTCGCGTTCGGCACGGCAGACTACTCGTTCAGCCTCGTCGACGACTGCCGCGGCGGAGGCGCCTACTTTCGGTATGTCAACCTGCTCGTCCGCGGCCTCGCGCTGCCGCTCCCTTCGCCCACGCTGCTCCTCGCGCCGCAGCGCCTCCCGCGCTACCTCCGGCTCGCGTACCAGTTTGGCCGCTTCCTCCGCAGCTCTCCGGCGCAGGCGGCTGCTCAAGCCCTGGCCGCTCCTCCCTCGCTGCTCCTCCCTCCCTGCTCTTCGCGCCCCCGCCCGATGTCCCCCCTCACTCCCCGCCTCCTGCCTCCCGCCCCGCCCCCTCCCGACTGCGCCGCGCCGTCCCGCTGCCCCTCCCAGGTCGCCCTCCCAGGCATGGGCGACCTCTGCCTCGAGGACTTCCTAGCGGCAAACGGCTACGCGCAGGCCCTCGGACCCTCTGCCACCTGCGCCTGGGCCTGTCCACGACAGCCCCCCCCCCCCCACCCACCCACCCACCCACCCCCGACACGCGTCCGCGGCACGCCCCGCAGGCCTTTGGGCCGGACCTGCTCTACCCGATGCTCTCCGTCGTCTGCACCTGCAGCTATGCGTCTGTCCGCACCTACCCGGCGGCACTCATCGTCGACTACTTTGCAGGCACGCGCGGCCGTCTGAGCCGGCACCTGGTGCGAGCCTGGTCTGAGGCCTCCCCGAGCCTTCCTGTAGGCAAGTACGGCCTCTCGGGCGCGCAGTGCCGCGCGCACGAGGGCACCCGCGAGGCGGTGGCGAAGCTGGCGCAGCCGGTGGCGCGCCGCGTGACGGGCGCCGTCCCGCCGCCCTACTATCGAGAGAGAGAGAGAGAGCCGGGAGGGAGCTGAGATTGGATTCTCGCGCCGGGGCCCCCGAGACGGGCGCTCGCCACGCTTCCACCGCTTCTCCGCTCGGCCGCGACTCTCGCCGAATCTCGGCTGATTTAGGCGCCACCGTGCGGGAGGTGCGCCCCTCGCAAGCGGGCGGAAGGCACGTCGAGTGGAGCGGCGGCTCATCTCGGCTCATCTCGGCTCATCTGGGCTCATCTGGGTTCATCTGGGGTGGCAGGCCACACGTCGAGTGGAGCAGCGGCGGAGGCGCCGACGGAGCGACGTCGCACCGCGAGGCGTTTGACGAGGCGCGCGAGATTCCAGATTCCCCACGGGGGGGGGGGCGAGGGTTGGGGGGTAGGGGGGCTCACCCTAGGTTGGCCCCCGCAGGTGGTCGTCGCCACGCAAGTGAGCGCCGCGCGCCGGCTGCTGCGGCCGGCGGCCGAGGCGAGCGAGGGTGCGGACCGCGAAGTGTACGACGCGTTGGGGTCGTTCCGCTGCGAGAGGTTCCGCGTGCTGCTGCACACGGACGCGTCGCTCATGCCCGCCCGCCGGCGCGACTGGTCGCCCCTCAATCTCGTCGTCTCTCCGACGGGGAGCGCCGCTTCGGTGACCGTCTGGATGAACGCGATCGACGAGAAGCTGCGGCAGTCCCTCTCTGCGCCCGTGTTTCAGACGTGGAACCCCGTGACGGAGCCGCGGCCGGAGGCGGTCGAGGCGGACGTGGCGTTCGAGAGGCGGAGATGATAGATAGACAGGTTGACAAGGGGGGGGGGGGGGGGGCACCGGCGCGGTATGGATGGACGCGAGGGCGGGGAGACGGCCGCACATTGGAGAGCGACACGCCGACACACAGGCAAGACACTCTCACATCCTCAGCTTACTTCAGGCCAATCGTCGACCCAGCTGCGGTGCGAGCGATGGGGAAGCTCGCGCGCTGCCAGGGTCGCGGCTCGCTGTGGCTGGTCGGCTCGCACACGCGCTGCTGCTCCCCTGTCTCTGCTGGCTTCTTCACACCCTTCTCCTCTTCCAGGTCGGCTCGTACGTGCGTTGCTCGATGCCGCTCCTCGAGAACGGCGTCACTTCCGCCATCGAGGTGGCCAAGCGGCTCGGCGCGCCTGCCAGCTGTCTGTCCCGCCATGGCTGCTCTCCTGCTCTAGGTGGCCAAGCGGCTCGGCGTCGACGTGAGCGACATCGAATATGTCGAGTCGCGGCAGGCCAAGCCACAGCCGGCGGGCGGGCGGCTGGTTTGGTGGGCCGTCGCCGCCGCGCTGGCGGTCGCCGCTGTACTCGCCGCCGCGTCTCGCTGAAACGGTGCCAGGCTGCGGCTCGCCTCGCAGCGCGGCCGCATCTTTCCGCCAGTGCCACGCTGTCATCTCCGCATCAGCAGGCCGGTTGGCATGCCAGTTTCTTCTCCCTCCTCTCGAGCCCCTCGCAACGGGCTCGAACTGAGGGGCGCCGCACACACGTTGCCGCTATAATCGGCGAGACGCTGAGGCGGGGGATGTCCATGCCGGATGTCACTCTGTGTATCTCGCCGTCGCGAGGAATTGTGCACAAGGACGCTCGCTCTCGCGGTGCCGCACACAGACGAGTAATCGCAGTAAACGGCTTTATCCTTTAACTGATATAACGGCGCGACGGCTCACACCACACATATCAAAAAAAATTGCTAACGCGAAAAACCGGCACACCAATCTCCCTTCCTCTCCCTATCCTTTCTTGGAGCTCCAGAGTCCACACCCCCCTGCCCCGGGATCGCGTACAAGCTATGGCTACCGTAGGCCACACTAGCGTCGCTGGGGGTTCCCTGCCCTAGATGGGAAGCTGGCCGCTGATCCGAAGACCGACTGCACCAGGGCGCCTAGATATACTCAAGGTGAGCGAGGGTGAAGTTACGCCTTAAATGCCTGTCTCTCTACTGTGGACCTTACTCCGAGCTCGACGGCTCCTCCTATTCCCCCACCCCCCCTCCCCCCCCACTCTCTCCGAGTAAGGGCGTGCGCTACGTCCCCAAGGGGGGGGGGACGTGGGGGGGAGGTGTGACTTTTAGGTTGTAGCGTTTGGGTTTTTGTGGGGCACCCAAACGGTTTCGGTTTTCCTCCTTGGTGCCCCGAGTAGAGCGCGATCTCCCCTGGAGTCTGTCGCGCCCGTTCTGTCTAAGCTCGAGGTTCAACCTTCCAGTTGATCCTTATCGGACTGGTGAGGTCTGCCTAGCCGTCGTAGTGTAGTGCCTGGGGTGCGTCTGCGTCGGTGCTACACACACTCGGCAGGACGCTGCTGTAAATCGTTGCTGCTGGTCGTCGCTGTTTGTTAAACGATTTTCGCCATGGTGTTTTTTCTTTTTATGCTTAGGCAGTAAAAAGAACGGAAACGTGTGCGGCAGGCGCGGGCTCGGTCGATATCCCATACTTCGACTCACATCTTCACTGCTGCGGTGTGTGCCCGGGGAGGCGCGGCGGCGGGGTGGATTGAGAAGGTCTCAGAATGCAGAGAAGCTGCAGGCGTGCAGAGGCGCGCGCTGCAGTTTCTCTGATCGGGCTGCTGGCGGTGTGCGCGAGACGGCGTGGTGAGGCGTGAGGCAGGCTATTGTAGTGGGGTGCGGGCTGCGTCTAAGCGTATGCGTGCACATGGTGCTGTATGCTGTGTGTGCAGGCAGGCTGACAGGCTGTGCACAGCAGACTGGGCGGATGAGCGCGCGCGCGCGCTCGTGCGGGCGTGCGTGCGCGCAGCGTGCCACGCGCGCGCCTCGTGCAGTGCAGACAGGCGCGAGGCGGCAGGGGCGCAGTGTACGCGGGCTGATGGTGCTGTATGCTGTGTGTGCAGGCAGGCTGACAGGCTGTGCATAAGACTGAGCGGATGAGCGCACGTGCGTGTGCGTGCGTGCGTGCGCGCCTTGCGTGGTGCAGTATCTGCGTCGTACTCGCGGCGCGTCCTGGTACAGCCGCTTGTGAGATGCCTGAAGCAGTGTGCAGAGCCTGCACAGGGCGCAAAAAGGCGAGGTAGTGCTGGTGAGGTGTGCTGCGGCGCGCGCGTCGCGGCGTGAGTGGATATGCGGCTTGCTCTGGTAGTGCGAGGGGCGCGCAGCTGGTGCGGGCGGCGCGGGACGGCCATGGGGCGCCAGCACAGGGCAGACGCACATGGCACAGCTCTGAAATGGCGCTGCGCGTGTTTGCGTGCGCGCGGGGACGTACGCGCAGTTTTCACGCGGTGTGCGTGGAGAAGGGCATGAGAGGCGCCGGCCGCGCGTGTGTTGTCGTGTGGGAGTTCGGAGTATGCCCGGAGGGCGGGGTGGTTTAGGGCGACTAGACTTCGCACTGGCGCCGGAGGCCCCAGATATGAAGAAAAGACACACCACACATATCGTCGGAAAAAATTGGACACCTCCTAAGAGATGGCTATACAACTACGGCTTTAACTATCTATGACAAGTTGCCGGGGCCAACGCTGTCCGCTGGACCTGGAGCCATCAAGCTAGGTACTTGTACAGAAGCTGCCACTCCCGGGAGGACGCTCGGGAGCCTCGGGCTCCAGGTACTCCCGGCGGATGAGGTCCACGACCATCGCGTCGAAGTAATCCCTCGCCAGGGTGAAGTTGGTCCAGCTCGTGGTCCACCTTGGCCTCGTTCTGATCAAGGCCTGCGCCTTCTCAGCCAGATCCTCGTGCTCCACCCGCTTCTCGCTCATCATTACCTTGATGATTCCCCACTCGACGACATGCTTGCGCTCCTGCTCCGCCTCCTTCAGCGCCGCGTCCTTCTCCTCCTGCGTCATCTCCGCGGCGATCCTCCGCACCTTGATCCGCTGCTGGCGGTCGGAGAAGGTGGCGTAGCTCAGCGTGTCGGTCGGCGCGACCTCCCTGCCGGCCGGATCCTTGGTCAGGATCTTGTACTTGCCGCGAGAGCACGTAGCGCTTGAGCTCCTCGGCGGGCAGGTTGAGGCGGCCCTGAATGTCGGAGAAGGTCATCGAGTCCGCCTCGTTGAAGAGCAGCAGGATGCAGGCCTGGTAGGTGAGACGAGCAGGTCGTGCTCCTTGCTCTTCCCCTATTCCGTGAACTTGCTCAGCGAGTGCACCCACCGCAGCCGGCGGTGCGAGGTATGTGAGTCGTAAAAGGCCTTGAAGGCCTCGACGCACTGCAGCATCTCCTTTTGCAGCTTGAGCTCGTCCGACTTGTACTGTGGCCAGAATTTGGTGGTGAGCACCTGCACCGTCAGGTCGAGCTCCTTGTCCTTTTTTGTTTCCAGAGAAAAGACCTTGTCGTGCTCGAGCTCCTTGTCCTTGACGTGCTCGGCGAAGGCGGACTGGATGTCCTGCGACAACCTCATGTCGGTCATCATGCCCTCCATGTCGTGAGTGAACTGCGCGCCGCCGCGCAGCTTGAGCTTGGCGATCATCGAGCGCTCTGCGCTAGCGCCCACTGAGGGCGCCAGGAGCAGCGCTTCGCGAGCTGCCTCCTGTAGAACTGGGAGAAGATGACCTTGTCGAACAGATAGCCAAAGAGCCGCACCACCTTCTCGAGCTTGTCCTCGAGCGCCTCGTCCGAGAGCAGCGCGCCCGAATTTTTGAGCAGGTTGTCGCAAAAGTTGGAGAGCAGCTCGGCGGTGGCGCTCTTGCCGATGTCCTTGTTGACAAACTCCTCGAAAGCCTCCCTCGCCGCCTTGAGAAACGTCGCGTCGCCGTTAAAGTAGCCCTCGCCTAACGTCGAGCCGATGATCTCGCTGTACACGCCGTCGAGGTCGAGCAGCTCCTGCACGTCGCCATCAGGTCGCCCTCGGCGTTGGCTGACTGCTTCTTGACCAGCGCGAGGCCGGCGTCGGTGATGTGCTTGCGCACGATGTTTGCGATCGGCGGCAGACCGATCGGGACGAGGCTAAACAGCTCGACCATGCGGTGGTAGTGCTGCCTCGAGAGGGTGGTAGTGCTGCCGCCGCCGCCGCCGCCTCCGCTGCTGCTGCCGCCGCCGCTGCTGCAGCCGCCGCCGCCGCTGCTGCCGCCGCCGCTGGTGTTGCAGCCGCCGCCGCGCGTAGAGACGGCCAGCAAGTTCTCGAGCAGCTCGCGCACCCGAGGCAAGGTGAGGTCTTCAAAGGCGCTGCAGGCCTTGCGGTAGGCGTTCTCCGCGACAGAGAGCTCCGTCCCCGCCGCCTCCCGCCGGACAGCCTGCAGACAGCTGCAAGCCCGCGCGCCGGCTCGCACAAGCTCGATGCGCTGGGCGCTCTCGCTCTCTCCGAGCCAGCGGTGGCGCCCTGGGCAGCACCCTGCATGCTGGAAACGGCGGTACGGCCGGGTCGGATCGAGGGTTTGGCGGCAGGGTTTGGACTTTTTGTTGTCCCCTGACACAGTTATTGTTATGGTGTTATGGCTCTCGGGGCATAGCAGCCCATAACATGTGGGGGGCCCATAACAGCCATAACACCCATAACATGTTATGGGCTGCTACAGTGGGTTTCGGGCATTAAGAAAACGTAGTATTAAGAAACCACGCCGAGCGATTTTCGCGAAAATCTAAGAAACCACGGCGCGCCGCAGGCGCGCCGGCTGGCAAGCGCCGCAGGCGCGCAGGCTGGCAAGCGCCGCAACACACTCACCCAAACGCCCCTGTGATGCAGTCGGTTGGCGTCGACGACCACAAGGTGCCGCCCAACGAGACCGACCAGGTGCAGCCGATTGATCGCGGCATGGGGCGCCAGATCAAAGTCTACCTCGGGCAGCTGCTCGATGAGTGGCTTGACGACGAGGACAACCTCGAGAAATGGGAGTCGAACAAGCTGACGGCCTCCATGAAGGCGCTCCAGGGCGAGGCCAAGCGCAAGTACTTCGAGCACGCTCTGGTGCCCTGCTCACAGCCGATGGCACGGACGACGACCTCATCAAGCTGGAGGGCGCCCCCGCCGGCTACAAGGTGGTGATCCCGCAGCTTACTTATTTTTTTATTTTTTGAGAGCGCCTTCGTTGTTAATAATACAAACCCATTGGTCCTGTGTCGCAGTCACACTTGTCGCAGTCACACACACGCACACGCCAATCCGCACCGCGCGCCCGGCCACCGCCTCGCCTAGCGCGCCTCGCACGGAAAAATGCCTCGGCCCAGCGGTCCTGAGTGCCGGCCGGGGCTAAGAAACCACGGCGTGGGCTGGGGGAGGAGGGTGGAAAGGCTTAGAAACGGCGGCGTGCCGCAGGATCCTGTTTTCTTAATGCCCGAAACCCACTGTATGAGAGAGCCGTCCCGGATCCACGGTGTTATGGCCCGAGAGGCCACACCGAACTGCTCGCCGCTGGAATTTTCGCTTCGCGCGCTGCCGCGCGCGAGGTTCGGCATCGACCGCCAAATATTTTCTCTTTTGCCCTTAAGTTAAATTCAATAACATCAACCTGCCTCCTGACTGAGGCTGAGCGATGGCTTCAGATTTCTCAATCAAGACCCCCCTCCCCCTCCCCCCCCCTTCACGCAATTTGCTTCCCGTTTCTAACTCGTACTCTCTGCAGCTCTGCCGCTCCCCTCCGTTTTAACATGTACCTTAAAGTATGTCTTTCCCGCAATTTAACTCACGTCCTTTTTCTCTGAGCCCTGGCCTCGATCGACACCCTCGACACCGGGCCTCGACACCTCGACACCAGGGCTCAGCTTTTTCTTTCCTTTTTTCGCTTCATGTCTCGAGGTTTCTAACAAGTGGAAGCTGGCTGCTCCCGCTTTTTAGTAGTTAAAGCTCCGTGCCAGTCGTGCGAGCGAGTAAGTTGTAAAACTCTTCCTCATCCGGATGACTCATCGCGCGATCGATGGATGGATGTTGCTGCTTTCCGCGTTGATGGACCACGCCTCTCGGATATCAGAGCACAGCGAGTCGTACGTGTGCTCGTCCTCCGCCAACACAGGCAGCACATTCCACATAGTTGAAGCCGGGAACCCTCTTGAAGTCGGAGACGCGCAGGTCAACCGACGAGGGCTTCTGGCTCATGAACATCCTCATCCGGTAGGCCATGGTTGGCTGGTAGTAGCTACGCGGCGCGGGGCGGGCGCTCCAAAAAGAAGAATTTACCCTACGCCGGGTTTATCGCGGCGTCCAAAAGAAAAATCCGTGACACATTAACAGCTGTTATGAGGTTGTTATGCTGGCTGTCATAACAACCAGTGGGATGTGTTATGAGTGTTATGAGGTGTTATGAGGTGTTATGAGGTGTTATGGTAGGGTGGGCATAACAGCCATAACAGCGATGGAGGTGTTATGAGGTGTTATGAGGTGTTATATGGGGTGTTATGAGCAGCCAGCCATAACAGCCATAACACCTGTTATGGCCGCTCCCATAACCTTGTCTGGGGACAATTTTTGGAAGGTTTACTCTCTCTCTCTCAAGGTGTATGGTTTCCTGCTCAAAGACTGCCCCCCTCCTGCTGACAGGCCAAGCCTCCCGCCGACAGGACCATACCCTCGAATGCCCCCCTCCCCCCCCCCTTCGGCCTTCGCCCCACCGGCACCGCCGGCCGCCTTGCATCAAGCCTTGCAGACCATCACCAACCAACACGCACACTAGATACCCGGGTACGCGCGGTGGCAGCCGCCGTCTTGGAACAGGTACCGCGAGCGCGTCCGGTGGGGGACTAGCACTAGCCGTCTTCCGCGTCGGAGATTCGGAGAGCCCGCTGTGTATGTGTACAATACGGTCAGCGCGATGCGCGTCGACGGCGAAGCGACGGTCTCTGTGACACGAGACTGCGCACATGAGAGGCCTTTCAGCGATCGTAGGGCGACGGCGCGACGGTGAACCTGCCACCGGTCGTGCGCGCCGCCGCTGTGGCAATCGAGAAGCTGTCTGGCCCAACCTCCAGGTCCGAGCCGGTCGCAGTGAGAGTGATGCGGCCATACGTCCCCGCACCGTCGCCGAGCGCCGCAAACTCGCGCAGACTGCCGACCAGGTCAGCCGTGAGCTTGCGGGTCACGCGCGATTGCGACATGTGCGCGCCTCCGATGCGGACGTCGAGATCAAACGTCGAGCCGCGTGGCGTCTCCGCCTTCAGCGTGATGTACGTCGCCTTGTTCGTGGCGTGAGTGGAGGTGAGCTCGACATTGAAGCCACCGCCGCACGCGTCGAGCAGCGCCACAAAGGCCGGTCGGTGCTGAAGCGCGGTGCGGCGGACTCTCTCAGCGTCGGCAAGGCCCTGCTCGTCGAGCTTGATCAACATCGTCGACGAGGGGTCGATCGAAGCGCCCGGACACTTTGCAAAGGAGGTGCGGTAAACGTGGCCACTGCTGCCTCCGCTGAAGCTGTGGCCGCCGAGATGGTTGATCGAGTCGCTGATTTTGAGGGTGAGGAGCGGAGGCATCGAGTCGCGGCCAATCAAGAGGAAGCCCTTGGTGCTTCGCCAGTCGTAGCAGCTGGTGCCGTTCATGCCTGGCACGCTGCACGTGAACTCGATTGAGACGTCTGATCCGCCGTGATATTGCTTGGACGACGCGGAGTCGTGGAATGTGCACGTGTAGGAAAGCCCGTCCATGAGCTGGACCGGATCAGACACCGGGTCTGCCTCGTCCGCATCACGCTTGCGCTTGCTCACCGCTGGTTCCGCGGTCGCCGGTGCGGGCACGCGCCTGACGGCCCGCTGCCGAGAGGGATCGGAAACGAGCTGCTGCTTCATCGCAGACGGCGGCTTGAGCGCAATCACGTATTGCGAGCCTCGAATCGTGGCGATGATCTCGTCGTCGCCACGTTGAAACGCCTCTTCGATGGCGCGCGATACGGGAGCGTCGTAAGGTGCAAACTGCCCGCTGAGCATCACTGACCACTCGGGTGCTAAACCAGCCGCCGCTGCCGGGCTGCTCATCGTTAGTCGGAAGAGGTTTAGCTGTGAGCGCTGTCAGCGATATCGAGCCCAAGGGTTTCTTTAGGAACCCCTGCACCCACCCTCGGCATGTCTCCTACGTCCCCTTCGCTTCGCCACCCCCCGCCACCGAAAGTCGCAGAGGTAGTTTACCTCCGATCTAGCTGGGTGCCCGGACTCGCCGCTCCTTTCCGGCTCGCCGCGGAGTGCCGTCAGTAAGCCGTCACCCGCGCCGCCACCCCAGCCTCCCGCCTCTCGGACGCGGACCTACCTATGGGTCGGCTCTTCGACCCACTAGGCCACCTTTGGCGCAAGAGGTAGCAAGACTGCGGCGGCAGCGCGCACTGACGCGGTCGTGCTCGCGACGAGGGCGAAATCAAAACGACTGACGGACGGGCACAGACAGGTCGCCCCGTCGCCGTCGGAGCCAAAACAGCGACGGGTGTCGTGGGCGTGCGTGCTTGGGTGGTTGTGAGCTCTCTGCCGCTTTCGACTGTCAGCCCACGACACGTACCGGTGTAGAAACGTCGTGTGAGTACCTCAGATGCGTCTGAAGACCGCAGGGTGGCACCAAATCGGGCGCCAAAGGTCGGCAGAACTGGAAGGCCCCCGAGGGGCCAAAATGGCCCCGTTGGGCTCGTTCCGAGGCTTGGACGGACTCTCGCGGCTGGTTTGTGCGCGATGTCGGCAATGGTGATACACACGCACATCGGGCCGATGCCAGCGGTACCCATTTTACGAGCCTCAAGCCGCGAGCCGCCCTGCAGGCGCCGTTTTGGGGCTCCGGAGCGAGGTCATGCAGAGCCAGAGGGCCCTGGGGGCGCTTTCGAGGCCTCAGCTACCACAACACGCCTTTAGAATGGTCCCTGAGCGGCTCCCACGATCCCACCAGCACCCGAGCTGCACGACACGACCGCTTGTTTGAACATTAGCGACACAAAATATTAGGTCACCGTGCATAGAGAGCGCTCCGCCACTGACAACACAAGCCACACGCACATACACGCAGGTAGACTTGTAGTGCAAAAGAGACGACAAGACGGCCACAATTCAGCATTAGCGAGACGTAAAATGGGCATCTTTTGGTTGTTGGGGAGGGATGTAATGTTGTATACCAAAGAAACAAGAACACCCGGAAACAATCACTGCGAGTCCGAGGGGCCGCGCGCTCGCGCGCCCCCCGCTCTCTGACGACGAGACAGTGTGGCTCAGGAGACCGCTGCCCCCCTCCCTACCCCAGCCCCGGCACCCGCGCCTCCCCTCCCCGAGCCGTCGAGGCATACGAGCGCCGGCGGCACACACACTGGGACACCCGCGGCGAGGACCGTCCCCAACAACCCAGCCGCGCGCCACTAGCCATCTCCATATGGTCTCAAATCAAAAGCCTGTCAAAAGCCCGCACCGCCCGGCGCGTCTTTTGGCCGGGCCGCCGGGTGCGGGCAACCCTAGGGCGCGCCCCCCCTACTTCTTGACCGGCTCCTCCTCCTCCTCCTCCTCCTCGTCGTCGTCGTCCACCGCGCTCACGACGCCGACGGGCCCCTTGCCCTCGCCCAGCGCCTGGAAGCCCATCCGCTTGGCCTGGACGACGGTCATGTTCTTCGAGACGGCGACCGGCGCCTTGATGAAGAGCTTGTGCAGGAGCGCGCCCGCGCCGAGGCCCAGCAGAAGCGTGCCGATGATCGCGATCCACGCGATCGTGTTCTCGCCCCAGCCCGAGTCGTACTCAGCGTCGCGCTTCCAGCGGCGGCGGCGGAGCATGCGCGAGTGGCCGTGGCGGCTCGAGGCCATCACCTCTCGGAGCTGGCGGCCGATGCTCGTGTGCACGTCCGAGGCGAGCTCCGAGAGCGTCGGCTTGTGCGCCATCGAGTGGCCCGCGCTGACGCCCGAGAGGCGGCGCAGCATGCGGCGCGCGCCGTTCCGGCTGCCAAAGCTGCCCTTGGAGGACTCGTCGGTGGCCGAGGAGGTCAGGCGGTCCCACACGCGCTTCCAGTAGGCGTACACCACCGCGTCGCAGTCGGACGGCACCGCCACCTCGCCGTCGGCCACCACCCACGGCTTGGGGCACGAGTGCGTGATCCAGTGCACCGCGAAGGGCGCGCCGGCAGCCTGCCAGTCGTTGGCCACGTCGGCGCGGCCGATGGCGAGCTTGGTGACGCCACGCTCGGGCGTGGAACCGTCGTAGTACGAGTTGAGGAGGGCCTGCTCGGTGCAGTCGATCACGTTGCCAAACTTGTTCTTGTGCTCCTTGCTGCCCTCGGCGAGCAGGTCCTGGTAGGTGGCCTCGGACGGCGACAGCATCATCACGCCCGCGTTGAAGTACGAGTGGAAGCGGGCGCGCTCGGCGGCGAAACCCTTGACCTTGTCGAAGGCGCCCGAGGCGTCGCCGGTGAGGACCGTGTCGGCGTCCAGGTAGAGGATGCGCTCGTACTTGAGCTGCTGCCACAGCCGCAGCTTGGTGGCCATGTGGCCCCACCGCTCGCCCTGGTCCTTGTCAAACCTCGAGCACTCCTCCGACTTTCCGAACCAAAACTCGGCAACCTCGTCGACGACGGCGACGGTCCAGCCGGCGACGGTGAGGGCGGAGCGCCACTCCTCGGGCACCGACGACGTGACGAGGCACACCATGTCGCGCGCCGAGTCGAAGGAGCGGATCGAGGAGCCGAGCACGAGGGCGCCGCGGAAGTAGTCGGCGTTGTCCGTCGTCAGGAGGGTGGCGTAGGCCTGCGACTTGCGCAGCGGCTTGAAGAGCCACGGCGAAGCGGGGCGGCTCACGACCTCGCCGCGCGAGATGGAGTCGGAGAGGGCTGGCGCGGCCGCGCCCAGCACCTGCGCGGCGGCGGGGGAGGAGGGGGGTGTCAAGGGGCTCGCGAGATGAAGTCGGCCGGCGCGGCGCCGCACCTTCCGCTCCGAGGCGAGGTAGGTGACCGGCGTCTTGGGCGACGGGCGCAGGAGCGCGTTGATGCGCTCCTCGGTGGGCATGGTGAGCCGCTCGACACCGAGGGCGGAGAGGTCCGCGTGCAGTCTTGTCGGCGCGGCGTATGGTCGCGCCATGAG